AGAGTTTCAAAACTTTGTCAATACCATACCATAAGTGATTAAATCACTCATTTATCTTATTAGATTTTCAAATGTGATTAATGCTTACCGTTTCTGGCTCGGCTTGCTTCACTGGCTGTTAAACGATCAAAAAAATTCACCAAGGATTCACTTGGAGATGAAAATATCTCCGCCTCTACTACCACCGTCAAAACTGTAGGAGGTCTGAACCTTAATGCGCGAGAAGATAATCTAACCACTCAGCTAGTCTACCTTTTAAGATTTGGCTTGGTATAAAGCATATTTGATTTGGAATTTTCCCTTCTTTTAAAACTTTAAATTATTGAACAATTTTTTCTTCTCTTGAAGTTCCTAACTTTGTTGACTTAAGTCGTTTTTCGGAATGTTCTCAAACATCGAATGTTTGTTTCACATTGGTCTTAACGTGAATGGAGTGCTATGTTAATAAAATTGCAATTATTTTATAGTAAAGTAAATGAAGATTAGTAACTACACATTACTCTTAAAGCTATTATTCTTTTTACGCTATCCTTTCCTTCATTATAAGTTTGATCATTGGTGAATTTAAAATTAAATTAAGAGTGAACAAATACTTAATTTCTTGCATTATAACCGAATGTCACAATCCTGGAGAATCCTGGAGAAATTTAAAAGGGATTTAACCGAATTTTTAATTTTAATCGCTTTCGATGATAAATGTACTGTCAGCAGCTTAAAATATATCAAAATTGTTGAAGCGTCTAGAAGCTTTCAAATCTATTCGTTCTTTCTGAGATTTTTTTCGGATTCGAATACAGAGGATTCTTTCAACTATTGCAGTATTTTTTGGATAAGTTTTTTGTTTTTGATAAATTATGATTTCTGTAACAATAAATTTGCAGCTACAAGTAATGGTACATTAAAAAGTACTGATTTAACAAAGAAATCTGAAAATATGTCAATGATGCAGAGAGGTTCGATAAACAAAACGAGCAAAGGTAAAATTTTTTCTAATGACACCCACCATTCCTGGTTAGGTTTGCTCCACTGGATTGTCGGACCAAATAAATTTTGCCAGGAAAATTAGCGATAGAAATTGCGAGAGTACTCGGCATTGCGCTCTAATGAGAACAACAACCCACACTAAGCCATTTTATCTCCGATAGAGTATTTTATGATTCATCTAATTTAATATTTAAAAATTATTAATCAGTTGATCATGTTACGCTCCTGATTAGGTCCACCGTATTGGCTAGTCATACTAAATTTTTGCCAGGGAATCACTTGGCATGGAAGTAAGAGCAGCGCCAGCAGCATCCAAATTTTTCGACGGATGTACTCGTGTCGCAAGTAGAAGCTTGATGCCTCGAGACAATAATTTGAGCAACAACCATTCGCCATCCTTGTTTTTTGGTTTTGACCTTCAACTGGTTTTTTTGTTAAAATTTCGTGCAAAAATTATTTCTATTTCCACGGAAATATTTCTTGATATTTAAGAAAAAAAAATCGGACAATAATATAAATTATGCTAAATGAATTATTATAAGTAAATAGCCTTTTGATCATAATTGCCCACTTGTAAATAATAAAAAAAATTATTGGCCAATAATAAAAATGGTCTCATCGACTTTACATACTTCGATAACCCATAGAAGTTCATAGTTTTATTTCGTTTATTCAGTATATATTTTTTTCACATTGGATATATTCTAAAAATGGAATGAAGAAATTTGTTACTGTTTCTGATTAGGCATCTACTCTTGCTGTTCATAGGATACGACCATTTCGCTAGTGATTCATTTTGTAAGGAATAAAAGACAGGAATGCCCATGAGTACCATCAGGAAACTTTGATAGCAAGCTTACTTCTCTTAGAGGTTGATCCATGGCACTTGAGGTTTAAGGCAACGTATATTCAGCCTTACTGCTATGTTTCTTGGTATAATTGCGATTTCTTCAATTTTATTTATTATTCAGTGCTGAGAAAAAAGCCCCAATTGTTGTTCCATTACCGTCACACCGTTGTTCAATTATTTAAGTCTATTAGATACAAACTTTTTTCTTTATTTGATTATAAGCTTGCAATTAATCTAATCTAATTATGCTAGCTGATAGTATATTTAGAAATTTTTGCCAGTGGCTTGGCGATAGATCGCTAGCACTACCCAGATTTTCAGATTTTTTAATGACAGGTTCTTCCTGTTGCAGACTGGAGCTGAACCCTTGCCTCTCACCGCTATAATCTGAATCAATGTCCATTCGCTAATCTTGCTGTTGTTGGTTATGGTTGTTAAATAAAATATTAGAACACAAATCAGTTTATTAAGTTAAGACTAATAATTTAAAACCATTGTTAGCAGTGTTCTGAAAAAAGATAATAAAATATCTTTCAGTATTACAAAATAATTCCTCAACAACAAATTTTACTGCTTCAAGTCGAATTCAAACGAAAAGTGCAAAAGAGAAGAAACAAGGTTCATACCACATTTTATGTGCTGCTTTCTATTGTATAAACCATCGTTAATTCTGTTACTATACATTGTGTATTTTTTTTAAGTCCTCACTTTTACTGGTTAAACTCGCTTCTCTAGCTTGTCGCACTGGACAAATATGCCAGGGATTCTCTTAGCGACAGAAGTACAGATGAATCGCCAGTATCATTCGGGTTTTTGGACAGACTTTCATTCCGCGGATAACAGAACGTCAGTATCGGCGCTCCGATTTCATTATTCGTCAATTTTCATTTTATTAATAAACTAGGGGGAATTGACTTTTTTGATTTTTGTTGGAAAAGAAAATGGTCTGAAATTGTTAAAGGCGGCCTTTTCTACAGATTTGATTTTGCTTTTTTCAATTTTATGAAATATATTTAAGTAAAATGATGAAAATTGAGGATATTACAGATTTGGAAGCGATGAAATTAAATCGTTTGAAAAATGTAGTTCGTGGTTTCAATGTGCTTAGTATTATTTTAAGCAGATATATGGGAAAAGTATTATCTTGAAATATTTTTCGCAAATATTTTTTCGGATTCTTTATTCCTCATCAAGCGGTGGAAAACAATTTAACTTGCTACAATTTGACTTTTTAAATTTGCGCGAATTTTTCAGGTTGATCAACAATTTCAAAAGATTTTGTTTCTCAGTAAGCGAAACGATGAACTTGGTATTTCTTTAGATTAATTTAATAAATTGGTCAAATCATGATCTGATATTTTATGGTTAGAAGATATGTAGAGAATTGATTCCCGAGGGGAGATGTTGGCGATGATTTGTCTACACTTTCCGTTTCTGACGAAGAGTCCTCCCTCACAAACAAGGAGAGTTAGCCAAACGAGGGAGTTCGTGGTGAATGAGAAGAAGGTAACTGAAGTGGTGATATAGCTACTGGCTATTTCGGCTGAGTTGATTTATCTTGTTTATTTAAATTTGTGCGATGGTAATTCGGTTATTTATTTCGGTTATACAGTTTTTGGCACATTTTCTAATTTTAATTTTTGTCTTATTTTTCCTTTTATTCCTTTTCTGTGCTAAATTTAATTCAGAAATTCGTTTATCATCGTTGAAGTCAAAACACGATGAATTTGTGGCAGAACTCACTGAAAAGCATCTAGAACAAATTCACAACGGTTCCTATCGTTTTCATTCTTTCATTTCATTTCGTTTTCGTTATTCATCTTCCTTTTTCATCTTCGTTTAAAGTACCATTCCAATTTTTTTCCATTTTACAAGACTTCCACTTTTATTTATTTAGGTTTAGTTAAAAAACTAAAATAACAATTAATAGTCGATTGTTCATTGTATCATTGTCATTCGTAATGGTGATTGTTTTTTTCACTTATTTTGAATCAGTAAAATCAACTTTATTCAAGTGGGGTATAATTGAAGTAAGCAATAGGCAATGCACCTTCGAGAAGGCCTCGTTGAACGAATCAGCTAGGTTGGTATTTCATATGAATTAAGGATATCATTGCCGATGAATTTAAAGACTCTGCGGGCTCTTAAGACAAAATTTTGCACCACTAAGCGAGAGAACTTGAAATTTTAGATTGCAATAATCTGAGTTGAAATGCTTTTTGATTGATTAAAAGTTTAGTTGAAATTATAATCGAAAATCATAGTCTACACAATACATGCATTTTGTCTGTGTGTAATACAACTGTCATATTTGAAGTGTGAGGGTATTTTCCGTGGAATTCCGCAGCACTTCGCTAATTTTACGGTTTCATTCAGTTGCCACGACTATTTAGTTGTTGTATGATCGAGCGAGGGGTAATTGAACTCAACTATTTCTTTTCTAAATTTTTTTATTTAATTCCTCATTTGATTTGATTCAAAGAAAAGATAATCTGTTAGACTGAGTAACGCCTTCTTGTGGCAGCGACAGATAAGTGTTGTCCCAGTCGACCTTCTGTCGTTTAAATACAATATAAATAAGCATTTCATTTTATTATCGTCTTGACGATCCAGATTCATCTTGAATTTCATCTTAAAGCCTACTCATCTACTCGGCTAACCAACAGTTTATTTGTTTCGACAATTTGTTTTCGCAAGTCTGCATTGCCGATAATATTTCTGTAAATGCTCTTCCACATAGCTTCTCAATTCGCGGATTTTACTCATACGAAATAATTTGCAAAATTCTTAGATCGTTTGTTTCGAATTGCACTTTTCTTTATTTTAAATGCAAAAAACTGAACTTCTATGAAATTCCAAACGGTCTTCGCTTGGCTGCTATAACGAAGAGTTCTCTACATTTTCAGCTGATCTATGACTTGATCCACTGCTGCTTCGCAGTCATCGACAGATTTCTATATTTCATTGCCTTTCTGTATTTTCAGCAATGTCTATTTCCTATATAAAAAGTGATAGAAATAATATAAAGTTTTATCCATTCGTGATCTTCTCATTACTTATCTCTTTAATACTATCAATATTCCTTTTTGCCATATTTTTTATTTATTCGACTCCTTTTATGATTCCTTTTACTTCACTTATTTATCTACTTATTTTATTATTTTTGATGTCAATTATTATTGCAGTCACCTATAATCATAACGAAGAGTTACGAGCTTTACAAAATCGCTTCGAAGAACAGGTCATTTTTTGTGAAATTTTGATACTAAAAATATTAATTTAATATTAATTTATTCACAGGTAAATTTTTTGTTTTATAGGTGTTAAATCATATAATTTCATATTAATTGACCAAATTGATCATTTTTTGATATCGAAATTTTTTTCATTCCTTATGAACGTTCGACTTGCCAACTTGAGTAACTAAGTAAGAAATTAGCATTTGCATTTTCCGATTCGACTAACTGCGTTGGCTGTTAGTATGATGAGAAATCTTTGCCAAGGGAGTCGATAGAACTACATATATGTGGCGATAGAAATTGCCAGCAGCACCCGGACTTGTTTTGTAGATACTAGAGTACCAGTGCACCAATATACCAATAGACCACCAATATCAGCAGCATTTTTAATGAAAACTTCAATGAAGCCGGAGGCAGGATCCGAATTCTGGCGCTGTAGATGATAATTTTTTAAAAACCACTCGGTTATCTTGTCCATGGTGCTTTGAAATTACATTTGCAGATGATTTCCACAGACTGTTAAGTTTTGCTAAAAATAAACCAAAAGGACTTTTGAATGATATACGTAATACTGTTAAATTCGACTCATTTTATCATACATTTTTATGAGTTTAATGAATAGCCTAGTTTATGTTGTTTTGACCGATTTTATTAACATTTTACGACGAATTTGTTATGACAAACATGTCAATGAATAGTTTTCCTAGTACGAGCGTATTTTATAATATTTACATTCAAATCAAAATTCACTGGGTTCTATGCTTTGGATCATATTTCGTAAACGGATCGGAGAAACTCCCTCATTAAATTATTTCATCAATTCATAAGAAAAACCTTGGTTATTATTAAATTGTAATAGAAACATTTTCTTAGCCAGTTTACGTATTCGGTTTCAGGTTCTTAATTGATTCAGGCCTAACAATTTGTTTTTAGTTAAAACATTGTTAGGATAATATTATTCAAGTCAACGCATTAGTTGTATTTAATTATTTCTATATTTTATTTAGGCCATTTATCAACTAAAATTTTAAAAAAATGGTTTATTATATTAAATACGTTAAATATGACCTATTTTCCTTGTTTAATTGTATTTCTTCAGCGAGTTAATTTATAGATAAATAGCGAATAATAAAACAATAAAAAATTAGCAACATTGATAATTATTTGGTTTGCTAATGACGATTAATTCAGGACTATAAGGTCTTAAAATTAACCGTTTTGAAATAAATTCAGGTCAGAGATTGTACTGACCGCTAATTTTGAGGAAATCAACTGATAAAGCATTTCGCCATTCGCTGTTCTCTTTATCGAATCTCATCATCTTAAATATGCTTGATTTATTTGTTTGATAAGATTTTTAATGATAATTTAGTCCAGAGCAAATAATTCTAAGTTTCGAAGGAACGATAATTTCTTAAAATTCCTCTCAATTCCTGAAATAAAGTTTTATATTCATACCTGTTCAAGCCATACTAAATTCTTGAGAATAGAGGATATTTTCTATTTTTGAAAGTTCAGTGCGAGGCTCTAAAAAAGTTTGAATATCTCGAGGCTTGGGTGTAGGATGTTGCTTAGACTTATGGCAAATATTATGTTTTCAATTCATATTTTTTAAAAGCATTCAATCTTTTACTAGAAATAAAATTCGCATTTCTAGGCATAGATCTCTTCCTGACAAAAGGGCCTAATAATCAATTGTTTCTTGCAAATCAGAAATGTAAAGTTTTAAATGAAAATTGTTCCATTCGTTTTACAATACCAATGATAACTAATAACTTTTTTTATGAATCGCGATCTATAAAATCATTTAGGGTAAACGATATTCAAAGATAATCATTTGTGTGTTTTAGAAAGTATTATCCAATTTGGTTTAAAGGAAGTGCTGATGGATTTAGCTACATTCTTTACTTCATTTATTGGTGATATACATCTAAAACTTGCTCTTTTGAGTGAGAAATGATAAAAGTGAATAATTTTAGTTATGTGAATATAAGGAAGAGATGAATCGTATAATGGAAGAGCAACGCATCTCAAATGAAGCTGAATTTGAACGATTAAGTCGATTACATCAAATACAGTGTGAAAATCTTGACAGTAAAGTTGCTGAATCAGAAAAATTAATTGAACGACTTATTCGGAATAAGAAGAATTTGGAGGCTACATTAAGCAAAGATACAAACGAGAAAGTTGCTGTAAGTTATGGGATATTCAATAAGAAATCTCTAAATGTTTGACGATTTCGACGAAGATCAAGCATGGATTCAGTTTTTCTCCAAAAATTATTATTTTTTAGGAATTATCAAAAGAAATTAGCAGTCTGAATACAGCACTCGAAATGAAATCAGCTGAAACGAGAGAATTAAGGCATCAAAATGCTAAACTTCAATTGAAGATCGAAGAAATTCCACCAAAAGATATTGAAATACGTAAATTAAAGCATCGGATTCACGAACTGAAAATACTTGTCGATCATAAAACCACCACTGAAAAGTAAAAATTATTAATTACTGTCATTAATTAATCTATCCGAGTTATGAAAGCTTTCTTCATTAGCTTTTAGCAGTATGCAGCAATTTTTGCTGCAGAAAAAAGTTCATATAGTATGTGGCTATAGGGATACCGGTGAGGAGAACAGATGAAATGTTCAAATGAAATTTTCGGGAACGAGTTTTAAAAATTTTTGTTTCTAGAGTGCTAACATCGAAATATGAAGAATTACAACGTTCGGCACGATCACATGCTGAAATGTCTGCGTCAATGTTGAAAGAAAATGATCTACTTCGTTATAAACTTGAAGAAATGGAGTCATCCACATCAGAAGGCGAACATAATTATGGAAACATTTTGGAGACACCACGGTTTTTTTTTGTGGATTATCTATCAATTTTAAAGTTAATCGGATATGTTGACATTTTTATGAGACTTCATAAATCTCATGAGTTCGAAGCTGATGGATTTATGAAAAATAAATTAAATGAATGAATGGAGTAAAGGCCGATTTCTAGGATTTATATTTATCTTTCCAATAGGTTTGAATTGATGGTGCTGTTTCATTTCATCCTGACCATTTCTTGTAAGAAAAATTTATTGCATTGAACAGTGGTAAAATTTATAGTAAAGTTCGAACTGCTGAATCGGTTTTGTCAAAATCAAATCAGAATGACAGTCAAATAACAACGACACCCATTTCTGGCAAATTTAACAAACCATTTAGCGGTGAACGTTTAATTTATATTTGGCTTTTTTTAGATATTTTACATGCATTTGTCAGGTACATAAAGCTTTTTTAGCTATATAGTTATTAAATTGTTTTTTAGTATTTCACCTCGGAAAAAAGGATTGGCATGATCGGTTACGTCTTTTTATTTTGGCTCAATCTCATTTTTTAGAAGTCGTGAGACGATCGACAGATGATGATGTTTTAAATCGATCCGTTATATCGGTTTATCTCGAACAAGGTCGTAGTCGCTCAGTGAAATCGAACGCCGATACCATTTATGCTCCTGAGGGTACATTTGTTGGTCAGTTTATAAAGTAGTTTTTTATAAAGTATAAAGTAAATATTAATTTTTCTAGTATTAGTTTTAATCGCCAATTCATCATTAGATCAAAATTAAAGATTTTTTTAAAAATTTTTGAAAATAGTCTAAATTTAATTTACTTCAGCTGTAACCATTTTTTCAGCGGAAGGTGCTAATGCAGCCAACGAATTAGGGTTTGAAAGTGAACACGATGCAAATGGTGAAGGTGTACCTCATTGGTTCGTTTTTTCATTTTATTTTGCTCTATTCTGTATTTTATAATCCTATCATACTGCTAATCGTCTTATAAAAAAGCTTCTAAGTAAACAAAAAATGATCACCATTTATTCACCATTTCCGGTTAGGCTGGTTGTTTGGCTGTTAGAAGTTTTTCCTGTGAGTCACTTGGCCATAGAAGTACAGGTGTGCCACCAGCATCAAATTTTTTCAGAGATTCACTCAAATTTTTTAATAAGTTTATTCCTTTCGGTACTCTCTTAACACGATAATCCGAGATTTCTGCCTACTCGTCTATTGTGTTTTAATAAAAAACTAAATTAATAAGTCACTTACTCGGTACTTAGTAATGAGTTCGAGGATTTTATTGACGAAATATATTAATCGAACATCGAAAGGGATTGGTTTATTTCAGTGATACTGCTGTAAATCTATAAAACAAAACAAAATAAAGTAATTTAAAAAGTAATTTTAATGAACTTGAAAAAAAAGAATTTAGGCATTCTGTAAATCACGATATGGCATTCATGTTAAATGGAATTTCTTGTTGACATCGCTCATATTTCTTCTTCCTTTTTTAAAACTTTACAAGAAGGTGGTTGTATTTCCGAAGAAATAATTTTCCCAAAATTCCCAAAACATTATGCATTTTGATAATCCCCATTAAGTACATATGTGGTTAGAATAAAGCTGTGTTAAGATTTACAGCTTCCCTCTCCTTATCCATTTCATAAAGTGCTATCGTTGATCTTCTCAGCACTTACCATATGAGATTTGGCTAGCTTCAGTGATTTCTGGAGTAAGTGAGAGCATTTAAGTATTGCGCGATAGAAATAAGTAGGAGTAGACTGGATTCGCTCCAACAATTTCCATTTTTGATGGCAATACTCATTCCCACGTGGTGTACGGGTCGAATCTGTGATCTCTTCCTTTTCTGATCCGTACCAAATCTTTTTTTTTGTGGTTCTTAAGTGCATGATGAAATTGTTTAATTTGCAGTTCTAATTGTTTTCTTTATTTTTTCGTTAATTCTTTTTTTTTCAAAAAGTATTTTTTGGTTTGGTTCATTCACCAGAATACAATTTCGCTTGTTCGTTTCGAAGAATGACGAAGAATATTTTTGCAATTTTTGCACTTTCTTTTTTTTTATTTTAAGATTTATTTTTATGATTATTTACGATATTTTTGTTGAATAAATAAATATCTCCGCAGAATCTATGACTGCATGGCAAACAATTCAGTAGCTGCTATCCATCATACGTGGTACTCCATGATACTACCTAGGGCAGCAAGTCGAATTAATATCGCATCTCTATCGCATGCCAAGAAGTTGATGGCCTTTTTCATTTCGATCACATTTTAGTTTACCATTCATTCACTGCTTACATTTTACTCACAGAACATAGTAAAAACAAAAGGGTTCAAAATTGGAGATTGAAATCAGTTTGGTTTTCAGATTTTTTTTGATATGATTGGTACCATTTCAACCTTATCAGCACTTTTTCATTATTTGCCAGCAATATTTCACTGTTTAGAATGGAGATAAGAACGGCTCGAACAATTCCTTCCGGCAGAAAGATTCATTTAATCTATATTACTACTGACTTAACCAATGCCGAGGAAGCTATATGTGTTTATCTCGAAAAATGAAATTTACGAAATTTTGCTGTTCTTAATAAAGTGGAGATATTAAAATTCTCGATTGTAATAAATGAATATTTCAGTGAACATGTAGAAGAAAACAATATGGGTGGTTGCAGCGCAGTTACAGACAGCGGTATTTCAATTTGATCTCATGAATTGTTGATCTCTTTTTTGTTTCTAACCCGTTTTGTTATTGATCCTCCGTTAAATTTGGATGAATGAGAAAGCCCGAATCTAGGAATAATTTACGACTCATTTAATGCGCCATTTTCTCTTGGTTAGTAGATCTTGAAAAGAGGAAGAGATGGATGGCAAAAGAAGGATTTAGCGATTTCAAGACTTTTACCATAAATGTTAGCGTTTATTTGAAACTGCCTCCATAATATTTTTTTGTTTTGCTTATTTATTTTTTAAACTGAGGGTTTAAAGTGCAAATTAAAAATAATTTAAAAGAGCACGAGCTTGAATTAAGAAGTGATGAATAATAAAAAAGATCTTCAAATATCCATTAAATTTTCCAACTGGAATTTTATAACGCATTCAAAATATGTGACTATATGAACAGTCCGTATCAGAAAGTGGACAGCCGTCAGGATGATTTTCTTTAAACCAACATTTACGAGTTTTCAATTTTCCTTCTACATGGCGCTGTCCTTCAACTGGCCAATTGCGGATCGAAACTTCATTTCCTGCTACCTAGATTATAAGTTTGGTTCAAATACAAAATTCAATATTTTAAACATGCTAATTAAATGGTTAAAATATATTTTACACGCGAATATAAATTAAAATTTATTACATAGAAGATTTGATGTTGATTTTTTAAAAAAGTCTTCACACCACCATTAGAATTTTTTAATTGATTTTTCTCGTTTGAATCGAGAAGATTGGCAATTTCCAATATGTTACATGTTTTCCCTCTGCGCCATTCTCTAAAATCATAAGTTTCCTTAATATAAACACAAATACTTGTTTCTGTAATGTATTTCGGCTATAGGCTATAGGCATGAAATACGAAACCTAATAAATCAATCCAAAAATTCTCGTATATTGAATTTTACTATATTACAATTAAATATGATTAAATTATACCTTGCGCATTCAGCAGATTCTAAAAGGTGCGAAACAATTTTTCTGATGGTATTTTCATGCAATTCACACCGAATACAATTTCGAATCTAAAATTGAAATTTAAAGTGGAACGAAAATTTCCTTAAACAGTAAAAAAACAAAAATTATTTTTAATAAAGTGTATTCCAGATATTAAATGCGAATGTTAACAATGCCAATTTCTAATTCGAAAATGGAAGTAAAATAACCTGTGATTGATAATATTTCAAAAGAATTATTCTAATAATTTTGTGCAATGAAAAGTAGATGGCTAATTTATTTTGCATAATCATCTGTTTCCAATTAAAACAGTTTACCTGAGAAATTTTTTCTCGAGGAATGAAATTACCAGATTTCGAAGTTAACAATATTTCTGAGATTCGTGCATCAATATCCTCTGGTAATTTCTCATTAGGAACAGAACAAACAAAACAATAACGTTTCGTCGATGGAATTTTCAAGCCATCTTCTTCAACTTTATACCCTAATCTATGAAGATAAAATAATTAAAAAATTAATAATAGTGAAATCCTTCCGAATAAGAACTTTTCAGTATGAATCATATGAAGAATATAAAGAATACTTTTCATTTAAGTTTTAGGAAAATTAATGCAGTAATGGCAAAAGTATCAAAAATTGTATGATTTTATATGTACAAAATTTTCGATAAATAAATACCTCATACAAATGCTTTTTATATAATCCAAATATGACCAATAACTGCTATAACCAGCAGAAGATTTCGATTTTTTTCTATATCGAGAATAAAAATCATATGGACAACAAGGCAAAAGAAAAAAATCACAGCGTAATCTAAAAATATAAAATTATTTCGCAACAAAAATTTTAAGGACAATGTCTATGAAAAAACTTCAAAAATAAAGCGAACATTTCAGTTATCATCATTATCATACCTCGCAGCTATAACAGGAATCCAAGGAGTAAGTTCATCACAATGATTGCCAATGAGATAATCTACACGTCTAAATTCATTGCAGTCTGAGTTCGTTTCCAATTCCGGATTCAATGCAAGCTCTCTTAAATCTGCTCCTTTGAAATCTAACCATATATTTCGTTTTCGAATATCAACACCATATCCTTTTACCTAATATTTGTCGATATTAATTAATTCTTGATTGCCTGAATATCAAAAAATCTAAATAGGATTGATTGAAAAATTTTAAAAGCTGTAAAACTTGATTTCCACCTGAAGTTTATACAGCAAATAAACAAGAAGACCATTTCCACAACCAATATCACAGAAATTTTGAGGAAATCTTTTTTTTCTACGCCATGTTTCCTGAAATCATACTATCTTTTAACCCAACTTTCTTTTAAATATATTTATTACGAATAAGGATCGATGAGGAAAAAAAAAGATTTAAATTCAGACCAATAAATATGCTGCAATTGCACAATCTTCGTAAACAAATTTTCGAGGATCGGTCTTCTCTTTCCAATTCTATAAAATTTTTCAGATATGGGAAAATTGATCAGGTTGTGTAAATGATTTTTAAAAATCATTTAACAAATTAACAAATTACGTACTGCTGCTATTTGATGGCCAAAATTTTCCTTAATCATTCGATAGGTTTGTGCATAATTATCAAGATCAATTAAATTGAGGTTTGCAATATTTGATCGATGATTATCCATTCCTTTCAGCCACCTGCAGAATAAGGAATTTATTTCAAAAATTCATCTTTTTCTTCAAAACAAACCTTTAAAACGAAATTAAATATGATAACCTTTTAAATTAAAATATACTTTTAAATTCATTACAATCCGTTTCCCGTCCCCGAAATTTAACTATAAATTTAATTTGACGAAGTTTTAAAAGGAATAAATTTGTTTTAAACTATTTGATTTATATTTAATTTGAAAATGAATGAATCGCTAAATTGCTTAATAATAAAATAAAGTACTACAAGACTTTAATTATTCAAATAGTAAATCCAAAAATAATTGGCGCCAAGGATTTCTTCCATAATAGATAAAAAATCTTAGAAAACTGGGTAAAGACTCCGTAACATATATCATAAATTCATATTTACTATATTTATTTATTTATTTACTCAAGGAGAAGAAAGAACCTAATAAGAGCAGGAAAAGCACAATCACAGAGCCAAGTAGAATCGTGATTTTCATCTTCGACGAATAACAACAATTCACTGAAAATCACATTGCCCCGAATTCAAAAATTTAGCAGAATTATATGAAAATTACAAGCTAAAAGCGAAATTAAAACAATCGAAAGGTATTATAACTTCAATTTTACAATAAATAAAATAAAATTTTATAATTTAACGCAAATGCAAACGTTACAACTTTTTTAAAAAAAACTCACCAACATTGCCTCTCATCGCAAATCTCAAGATTTCTAAATTTCAATTTATACGGGAAAAGTATTTGAGGGTGCCGTTTATTATCAAGAGTACAAGGAAAAAACTCCACCGAAAGATGGTCATCTACAATAGAAATAGAAAATTTAGAAACTTAGAAAAATAGTAATAGAAAACTTGATCACTCCAAATCACCCCAAAAATCCGTTCCAACTCTCTCCAGTTTCGCAATTTCTTCATTTATGTAAAACAAAAAATATGAAGCGAAAATTTTAGAAAATAAAAGCAACCAGTGAAGAGTGATACTTCATAAGCCCGCATCGAAAAAATTTTAGATTTCGGGATAAATTTAAAAATCTCCAAATTATATCGCCCGAATAAATTGACAGATGATAATATCTTGAAATATTCTGGAGAATCTTTATCAATTAGCACTGTACCACTTAACCGCTTATTTACTGTGTTACACCTGGTTCTCCAAATCGATATAAGCTACAATGGTTGTTAATATGAGTTATGAATAAAAATTTAAATTAAAAGCATTAAGGCAGCTAATCCTGTAGAGATAAAATGAGGTTTTTTTGTAAAAATATTTCTTTATTAAGCAAATAAGTGGCTAGTGCCCACCACTAGTGTTTCTGATTAATTTCACTCTAGTTTTGCTTCTACAGGACTCAGAATCCGAACCCTGAGATAAGCAATAACCACTCCGCTATTCTACTTCCAATATTTATTTCTCAAAAACTGAAAATCACTCGAGATAAGCAATAACCACTCCGCTATTCTACTTCCAATATTTATTTCTCAAAAAACTGAAAATTCCGAATTTCTGTTGAAGCGAAATTATTTATCAATTACATATAGGTGTAACAATGAATAATTCCAAATCATCAATATGAGAAATATAGAAGAAAAAACTTCTGAATTTAAAACCTACCTTTCGAAATCGAGCGACAGTATCTGAATGACTGAAATCGACTGATTCTCGTTTCAATAATCGCCAATTCATCGTAGACGTAGATAAAAAAAATAAAAAATATTATATAATAAAATATAATATAATAAAAATATAATAAAAATATAATAAAAAATATTTCCTCAAATCGACAACTTTAAAACCATTGAAAATCAACACAAAGCCAATAAATGAATTTAAACGTTTAGCAGTAAATTTGAATTATCGAATCTAAAATTCCGAAGTACTGAAAATTACCATCAAAAACTTCAAAAATTCAAAATTCAAAAAATTCAAAACCTACTTTAAATTCGAATATTCACCAATATTTTAAATACCTTTTTTAAAATTTTTCCTTTATAAATAATCATAAATATAAGAATAAAGTTAATAAAGTTTTTAAGAGAATAAAGTTCACAAAGTAAAAAATCGAAAATTTGCAACTAAAAAATTTTGGAAATAATTAAGATAACTTTATTTCTTGAAGGGAAATAAATGAATATGATGTATAAAATAAATTTACGAAACAACAATAAGTATTAATCTTATAATTTATTTACTTACAACAGATAATATTATGAACAATTGTATAAATACAATAAATTAAAAAGCAGAAAAAGAGAAATTATTTCCAATATCACTTTTTTTCTAACAAAACAAAATTGTGCACCGACAATTTTTTGAACTAAAATTTGGGGAATAACAATTCAAAAAAACTATCGGTAACTATAATAATAAGGTGCAGAAGAAAACTGTGTTACGGGAATACTGAAGTGCTGCATATCCGACTGGCACTGCATCTCATCGAAATGAAGCTGCTTCGCACAATATTCATTGCAATAAGAAGATTCCTCAATATTTACTAAAAATTCCAAAAAAAAATTGGAAAAACATTTTTAAAAAATTTAAGGATTATTTAAGAAAAATTTAAAGATTGCTGTAGCTTCTAAAAATTATTAGTTTAAAATGAAAAAATTCTGAATTATAAAAAAGTGAATAAATAAATAAATAAATACACAACCTCCGTCTTTACTTGGACCATATCCAGCGATGACTGATGCATCGTCCAACTGACCAGCACAATTTGCAGGTAGCAAAGGAACCCAACAGCTACGATTTGGATCGACTGGAGAATGATATGCCAAGGTTAAAGAATGAGAAAGAGGACGAGAAGGAGGAGGAGGATGAGAAGGAGGAGGAGGAGGATTTAATAAAGATTGTGGTAAACTTGTTTTAGTAGCCAATAAACGCATCGAAACATTCGGCCTTTCTATCTGATGGTCATTTTTGCTCCTTTCAGCCCTTGCAGCCCTTTCTCTTTCAATTTGTTCAGCTTTTTTTAGTTCTTCCCTTCTTATCACTTTTCTGATGAATATTTGTTGCCCTTTAATGCAGTGATATCCTATTGCAAGGCATTTCCGACATGTATCTTCATCATCAAAAGTAATGTATGCGAAATGATGCTGACGCTATAAAGTTTTTGGATTAATAAAAACCATTCATCATTTGGTTGTAATTAAGCAATAAATGCAAAATGCGAAATGACGATTTAAAAAACATTAAAACTTTCCAAACATTAAAACTTAAAATTTAAATTGAAGACATGATTAATCCAATGCGAATTTATGATAGACAGCTGGATGTTTAAAAGGAAAATTTAAAATTATGCCCAATTATTTATTATTTTGTAATTCAATATTTTATTTATATATCAACTGATGATGGTTGAAAAAAATTTTTTTTAAATCATCAAAATAGCATTTTTTAAAATTATTTCGAAAATTTTATCTCCATATCTTTCGAAATGATGAATAACATACGATTTCCTTTTCCTTCGATTGTACTGAAAAACTGCCAAACTTCGAGAAATATTCGATTAAATCGCGTCGCCTTAAATCACAACCAATAAACGATACCAGAATGCGTTTCGCCTTTATTTCCTCAATTATACGTTTCGGCTTTGCCTAATAATAATATTTATTAATTCAAAATGGAATTAGCAATAAAATATCATAAAAACCATCCGAATAAACAATAAAGACTAATTAACAATACCATTAAAAAATTACAGCAAATTGTCAAAAACAACTAACGGCTAACAAAGGAAATTTTAAGCCAAAAAAATTGGTACGATTATAATTTATAATTTTATATACTCATACAATTTGTTAAGAAAACTTTTTAGCCAACTAAATAATAAAATCATTAAATACGAGATTTAGACGACTTTTGAGCTCAGAAAATAAAATAAAATGAAAATGCAGAGAAAACAAACGAACAGAATTTAATCGACGTAAGACGACCTTAACATTATCGATAATATGAGAATCTGATTCCAAACATAAATCAGAGTGTAGTTTCATAAAAAAACTTATAAAACCAAAACCACGCGAACGACCTGTTTCCTAAAGCAAAATTAGAACAGTGATTAGAAAATTAAATCAAATTTGATAAATCATAGTCATAAAATAAATAACAAAAGTTTGCCGGTGCAAAAAACTTCATTATCTTAAACAAATATCGTTGTTGCCAACCTTTTTCCATACGGCCTAATATGAAACTTTCTAAAGATTCCTGAAAAAATTTTAACGACCAAAAAAACGTTTGTGCCTACCGATTAATCCCTATGAATAAATACAAAATGAATACGATGGAAGGATAATAAAATTTCAAAACAAATTAGAAACAAAAAAACATGAAATAATTTTATTACGAAATCATAGAATTATTTTTACATCCATGCATGATGCTGCTAAAATAATGATATCCTCAGACGCCTAGTCGCTTAGGAGCCCACTCGAACCTGCATGCTTTAAATTTTCGACTTTTTGGAGAGCCCCACAAAAATAACATTTTTTTCCATTAAAACGATCATAAATAATTGGTTGAATTTTAAACAACGAAAACAAATAAATCACTATGGATGAATAACTGAAAAACAAATAAAAATTAATCAGCCGAATCCAAAAATTCAATTGCATTAATAATGTCTCTGACTAGGCCATCCCATCGGAGGAAGTGACGCATATTCTCTACTCTAAACTCTCTACAATGAATGGCGTTGAAAACGAGAAAGACCAAGACTTGAATTGATATATTTAGAAGATATTTCGAATGCATAGAAGGATATAGTGATATTCAGCTTTAGATGGTGGAAAAGGTAGAAGCAATTTTCAAATAAAGAATCTAAATGTTTGGAAACGCTTCACCCTTAAAACCAATAAATAACCAACAGAAGGAAACAATTTGAAAATGCTTTGCGCAAAAGATAACCAAAAAATCCTTACAGTAGAGATTTAGCGTAATTTAATAAAAACATATCATCCACTAATACTTAACTGGTTTGGCTGGCTCCACGAGCTACAGGTCAAGATACTTCCAGTTCTCACTACCAGTCAAAGAAACGTGGACTGAAATGTCTTGGGTCCACTCTTACAACAAGCGGCCAAGCAAAAGACAAAATTCCGGCCGAAGCAGCCGCCGCAAGAAATACTTTATTCCATCCCGCGAGAGCCTTGTAGAATCGCAATGAAACCAGCAACAAAAGGAAAGTTCCAATCCTTCCAGCTGAAATTTTGCCTGTTCCTCTTCTACTCGGCGCAAAAGCGCATTCAAGACATTTATTTTTTTTTCGTATTCCTTTAAATATAAAAATAACTAAACAAAAATGCGTACAGGGCAGCCGAGAAGGAAAATCAGCGAAGCTTCTCACTGAACAAAAAAAATTCCAGCAAATTTTTCGCAAATTTGAGCTCTCAAATACTTGAAATATCGCCTCATCAAAACTCATAAATAAGTCGACGAATGAATGAATAAAACGGCAAATTGTACCTCATGGATGTTCACAAACGATTCGGCGAGTGGACCCCACTTTCGAAAGTACCTCATTAAATCGTATTTCGTTGTTCTTAATGTAATGCCTTCAACTAAAATTCGTTCACCTTCTTCCATTTTTCGTAAAATAATTTAGTTCTTTTTTATTGGCAATCTAAATAATAAAACAATAAGCAAAAATGAAAAATATAAGAATTTAAGGGGTTTTCAAGTCAAAACCTTTTTCTTGTGCCTTATTACACGTGATACAATCAAACAATTAAACTCAAAGGCTAGCAAACCCACGACCTATGACCCTGCAACCACGTTTCCAATTCTGAAACAATTTTTAAAAGCAGAAATTTTAAATTAATATCGATTGCCAAGAAATATTTCGCTGTTATTTGAAAATTCTTTAAGTCTTAAAACGAAAAATCTTGAGACCATACATTACGGTATGGCTATCGGACTGGAATGTGGAGTTTTGCGAAGGGTAATGTAACATTTCCAGTCTGTTTGTGGTGGGGTGCTCCTGGGTAAGCGATCGTCAAAGCTTATGTTAGGCCTTCTGCAAAACAACTTTATATAAGTTGTCCTTTCGGTGAAATTTGAAAAGATTTTTTTTACATTTGTGCGAAAAAATTTTAGAGATATATTTTTGGGGAAATTTATAATCATTCATTCGAAAATTTACATTATAAACGAAAAAAATTTTCGGGTTTTTTTAAATAACAAAAAGTTGTCATTTCATAGACCATTTAAGTTATATATTTTTTTAAGTAATTTATTTTTATTTTTCCTAGAGTTTTCCGTTTAAATTAGGTAAAAGCATTTAGTGAAAGAAATTATTTTTTATTCGGTGAGAATCTGAAAGGTTTTTTTTCAACTTTCTCTTTTTCGTTCACAGTTTTTTTGGCTTAAGCTTCTGAGAATTTTTCATTCGAAAAAATTCCTTTTGACGAAATTTTTGGTAAAATTATGAAATATCACATCTCTCAAAATTTTAATTTTTAGAATAAAAGAAACTGTAAAAAAAGTGTTGACTTTTGACTTAAATGAATCGAAGTGATTTGATAATTGGTAAAAAAACCCGAAAGGAAGAAAGAATATAACCATCAACGGCGTTGCTTGGACTTTTTTTGCTTCGGTATAACTCGATTTAAAAAATTATTTTAATTGAAAGTTTTGATATTTAATTTTTCAGCAAATATTAAAATTTTAATTAAACTTTGGTGTTTAAAAATTTTTTATGAAGTGATCCCTAAAAATATTTTATTTTGAAGTTTATTTTAGAAATTTCATTTTCTTTCATATAACTATTTTATACATTTTTTGATTGTATATATTTTCCATTTATTTTTTTACTTTTAAAATTTTTTTAAATTTCATTGTTATTAAGCCATCTCAGTTCTTCAACGAAATGTCGAAACGATCATCACCAGGATCTGATGATGATTCGTCAGAAGTGGGCTCCGAAGAACCAGTCAAGAAACAAAGGCTTGTTGAATTTGAGCCTGTTCGGATATCTTCAGTTAGCGCCACCGTATGTATATTTTTATTTTTTTAAAATTCGTATTCCGAATTTACACCTAAATTCTTAAAATTTGGGAATCTAATAGGAAAATTTTACTTAATTTCGCTTAAAATTTGATCAAATTTTTAAAGATTTTTTTTTCAAAGTTTAATATATTTAAAGAATAATGTTTTAAAATTATAATATATATTTAATATATTATAAAAAAAAGTTTAAGTATATTTTGAAACTTGAAAATTATTTGAAGCATCCGTTAGAACTTTAGATATTTTTAAAAATAGCTTTTAGAGTGAAATCGATGCCAAAGTTCTAGCTGTACAGCATTACAAATTATCTGAACGCTTTCAATATAAGGAGCGTCAAATAGCTCAATTACAAAAACGGGTGGAACAGATGGAAAGTCGGCAAGCGCAAGATGATGCTATGTTGTGTATTATTAATCGTTTTTGGAATCGAGTACAATATTTCCAATATTTTCGAATTGACTTAGAGTTTCAAAATGTTTTTTTGAAAATTTTTGTAAATAAATGGAATTTCCCAAATTTTCCATGGACCAAAATTTTTTAAATCAGTGTTCTTTACCATATTAAAATAATTCTATTTCCAGTTCGATGAAGACGTTCGAATTTTATTGCAGCGTTTTGATGCAGAAACGGCATTAGAGGGAGAGATAGAAAGTAATTTGCTAAATTTTTTTGAAGCCTAGTTAATGTTAATTCTGTCGTTTTGTTTCATTTATTTTAGGTTAAGTAATCAAAGATCAGTGGTGTATATATTCTTTTCTTTTGTGTTTCTCAAAAAAATTTATCAAATTTCCAGTGTCCATTTGCGTTTAAAATTGTGTTTTAGCATTATTGTAACATTATTCATTAATCATTATTAATCATTATTGCTGCTTTAATTTATAGAAGAATGTGAAGGCACCAGAAATTTTTTGGCTAATTTATCTCATTGGGAAAATGAAGAGATGGAAGGAAAATTGAAGCAGAGAGTAGAATTCAGGTAAATTTTTCAATTTCAATCTCAATTTCCTTTAGTTTTCATTAATCAATATTGATACTTTAAATTCAAATTCTTTGCTCATATATTTGTTTAATATTTTTATTATCTATGAAAACCTTATAGAACGATCTAATTTTGAACAAGTGCAATATTTCGCTTTATTTGTGATTATTTCTCTTTATTAAGCAGCAAAAAAAAAATGTTTTAGTCGGCGAGCCATCACTAAATTAATTCAAGTTTTCGATCACATCACCCAAAGAAATGAAAAAATTGCGGAGTTGATCGCTTCCTGTTCATCAGCCACAAATGAAGGTAGCCTATAGCATGAGAAAATTTTACAGGACTTTTCTCTTGTCTTTTAATACAGAAAAGATTCCTGAACGGTCTTGCATCACAGATTGTAACTAGAATTCACTTGTACTCTTCATTTCACACATTTTTTTGAGCAGCGTTCAATTATTTCTTCTGTTTTCCACTAGGAATTCGTTTTACATTTTACTTTCTGGGTACTGTGGAATCATAATTTTCCAACAGTGGCTATATATTAAGTTAAAGATTTGTCGAATGATTCAGTTTTCATATCCATAGGACTTTTTTTCGACTTCTGCCTCTGACAGGAGTAAACTTGTCTTTGAAAAATCTGGGCGTTGTCCGGGCGCCCCTGCATTACTTTCACCAGTTGATTCCCTATCAAAATTTTCTAACTATATTAAAAGCCAGTGAAGTGAGTGTAGTCAGAAATGGTGGGCCCTAATCACTTCATCTTTAAGACTGATATTCATTTTTATTTTTCATTCTTCTATTTTCTTATTTGATTATATAGGTGCTTCAACATCAGAAGATGAGAAAAAGGTTTGTGGAATGTTAGCAGTTAATGGATGTATAACAAAGTGGAATAAAGAACTTTCTGATGAAAATTCGAAACTTCAAAAAATAGTTACCAAACTTCAAGCAGAAAATAGCAGTCTTTCATCAAAGGTTATCCAGATTTTTTTGAATAAATAGCTGACTTCGAAATAATTTAATATTTTAAATTTTTAAGGAATCTTTCATTTCATATAATTACTTTACTTATATTCGTATCTGCGATATCTAAAAAAATTAGCAGAAATTTTTTTTCGAAATGAATTATTTTTTATATCTGTATTAAAGGTTTCTGCATTGGAAGATGAACTCGCACTGATGGAAACTCGTACGGAGGAAATAAGTAATTCATTAGAAGAAGTAAAATATGAATTAGATAAATCTTTACGACGGGAGTGTAGACTGGATTATCGTCTTTCTGAGGTATAAAATTATGTAAAATTTTTCGCTAATTTAAGGATTCCTGTTTTTTTCTAAAAATTTTATTTTGGTAGGGTTACACGTTCAGTTATTCTATTTATACTTTATTTTTTCAAAAATTAATCTTTCTCCATTTTCTCTTGTTTGCTTTCGTTTTTTACACTTTGATACGAAATAGTTTTTTATTTAGCATTCACATTAACTTTATTTTTATTGTGCCGCTTAAAATTTATAATACATATAATTTATTTAATTCATTAATATCGTTAATATTAATATTAATATCGTAATTCTTTAGTTCACTATTAGTATTTTTGTAATTCCTTTGCAGTATGTAAGAAAAGCGCAAGAAATTGAATTAAATGGTTTAAAGGCTATAAATTGCACTATTCCTGCAAATACAACAGGCACCACAAATATCAGCAAAGTTAAAGTACGGATTTTTGATGATTTATTGTATTATATACTTTTTTTGAGATTTTTTGTAGAGATTCAAATTTTCACTGGAATACATCGTAAAAAACTGAGAATAAAATAAAGCTCTACAGACATTGATAATAAGAAAAGAATAGTAGTACTGAAAAAGTTAAAATCTGTTTTTTACGATATGTTCCAGTAATTGGTTGTTTTTTTTTCAGTTGGAAGAGTTACAACAAGATCTTGAAACACAGACGGAGCTTGCTGCGTCACGATTACAGGAACTACAAGAAATGCATGAGAAGAATAAAAATCTCATGGGGGAGCTTGAGAGCCTAAGACTAAATGTAATTGCCATTTTTTTGCTTTTGTTTCAGTGTCAGTTGAATAGTCAAAGTATGTTATAACTATAATGATAGCTAACTTTAGTTGAAAAGTAGGTTAACATGGATCACATAAATGATTTTTCACGAAAGAGATTCGTTTTAATATTACTAATAATTAATATTAAAAATTAAAATTTAATATTCATTCAGGTGAACCATGTTCCACCAGATGTTGTCAGAGATTCTGCTGAATATATTTCGCTGCAAACACAGTTCTCTGTTCTCTATGTCGAAGCTAGTCAGATGAGGTTTTAAATTTGGATCGGCTAATGTTAAAATTAATAAAAAATTGAATATTAATATAAATCGACAAGTTACTTTCTTTAAGAAAATCTTGTGGAAAGTACTATCTACTATATAAATATTTTACTATTTTTTTTTCTTAGTGTTACATTTATTTACATTAATTTTTCGTTTCAGACAGCAACTTGATGCAGCCAGAACTCAGATTGCTGCCTTGCGAGCTGCGCATGCTAATCAAATTGAAGTGATGGAGGTAAAAATTTATTTCGCAATTTTTTCTGAGTATGAGTAATCTGATTTTTAGAGATGTATTTTTAGAGTGAAGAATGTCAAGCTAGAGAGCAAATGCAAGATACTATGAATAGGCATGAAGAAGAATTATATCAGGTTCGAAACGAATATGAAATGCTTCGGTTGGAATTTGAACAAAATCTTTCTGCAAATGAACAGTCAGGTAATCTTTACTAATATTATACTAATATTTCTGCATAAAAGTTGGCAAAAAAAATTTGTTCAGTTTTAAGCAGTAAAAAAAAAAGTGAATGAAGGCCTAAAAATAACCAGTGCATTATATAACCTAATTTATTATATAAGCTCGTTTTTGCCACTGTAAATTGTATTTTTAGAAATGAGACATAATTACTTTTCCAGAACTTCTTGGTTTAGCTTTATCAGTCATATGGCTATCCGGTGCTAACAAAAGGTGCTATGGTGCAGTTATGGGCAGTACAAAGTACAATAGAATTCCTCAGGAACTTATGTCGAGTTACTTGCTCTGTGATCTAGCATTTTGTGTTCGAGCATCACTACTTTGTGAACAAGTGCAGATTTTTCCTGGACCAACTCATCTGTTGTAGCCTGAGTAGACAGCGATTTTTCCATCATTGATAAAAAATTTACAATGGACGATATCAGCTGGATCACTACATATCCACTGCATATCACTACATATCCACTGCATATCACTACATATCCACTGTATATCACTATATATCCACCACTAAACAACAAAATTTTCTATTGATAATTCGAAGTTCATTTTTCACAAAATGTTATCGGTAAAATGATTCATTCTCATAGCATGAAGCAAAATGGCGAGACAAATAGATCGTAATCAGCTGGAAATTATTGTCGACATTCAGTTCGTATGAAATTCATTAGGTCAGCTTTCAAATTTTCCTTAGGTGATGGAAGTGCAAAAGAATGGTTTCATCTTGGAATTCTTCTGCAAACTTTTGCCACCTTTGACTTAAGTCTGTTATGATCTTGATCCTCAGTTTTAACGGTCTTCTTTCAGCGGGTGCATTTTCAAGTTTTTTAACTTCTGTCCTAAATTATTTTTATGAAAATTTTGGACTATTCGTTTTCTCATTACAAACTATACAAATGTATTTATCGGGTCTAAAATGAAACGCATAAAATGTGGAAACAAGGGAAATGTTCGAGGTTAATATGATTTCAACGCTGCACATAATTATTCACTTTTGTGCATACATCACCATCTTTTCAATAGCTTTTTAGCATTGTCTTTTTAAACTTTCCTCAGTGAAAAATTGTTTTTTTGATTATGAATTTTTTATTTGTGTTTATATTATATTAAGTGCTTTATTTTTCTGTCTATTTTTTTCAGGTCCTTTAAATAAAGAAATTCGTCTGATGCTTGCATCTGCTAAAGCTGAAATCCAGCAACTTAAGCAAGAAGCTAATCGGTTCAAAAGAAAGTGGAAGGAAGCTGTATCTTCTCTTGCCAAGGTGTTGATTTGTCCATATAATTTCTTTAGAGATTTTTTTAAATATATTTCACTTTTTTATTTAAGAATTAGAATTTTTTGTTTTTATTTTTTATCATATAAGTGTCATTTGAGCGATAATTCATAAATAAGTCATTATCGAGAACGACTTAATGCAGAACCACTGTAGAAATATTTCGAATTAGAAATATTTAAGAGGACATTTTGCTATTCATTTTATTTATATTTACAAATAATTTATAAAATTTATTTTAGTGCAACAAGGAATTAGATACCGAACGGCGTTACCGTGAAAGGTGTTTGCTGATCGAAGTTGATGATGAAAGCGATTCAGTTGCTTCTCCTGATCCAGAAAAAAATTCTTCCTCCACTACTGATATTTTATCCGATGGTACCACTATCGATGCACTAGGCGCTAACGAATTTAATGATGCAGATGATGATAACTCTTCACATTCGAGCAAAATAATTCAGTCAGTTAATTCAGTTCTATAAAATGTATATATATATAATATAATTTAATATAATATAAGAAAAAACGAAAACTGATTTTAGGTGAAGTTCTGAATTGGGTTTTCTTGGATTTTTTCAGATGTTTATTTCTTTAAATTTTAGGAAACTCAAAAAAAAGATATTGGAATTACAGTCAAGGTTAGATTCGATGAATTCATTAACCAGCGACCAACGAGAGCGTGTGGAGGTAAATTTTTAGATCTCTTCTTTTTTTTCAGTTTTTTCTGAATATATTTTCTATTCCATTTTCTATCTAATTTTTCATCACTGAAGGCTTTTTGAGAAATATTTTCAAATCTTTACTTTCAAATTTATTTCGCAGAATTCAATTTTATTCTCACATTTTTCTGCGATATTTGCGTGTTTATTGTATTCTTATTTAACGGCCAAGAGGCCATTTCCACAGATTTTTCATGGTTTTCGAATATACGATTGTCAGATTCGATCAATAAATGCAGAGCAGACGAAAATTTTTTATTTATAGATATTATCGAGAGAGCGATTACTCAAAAATGAAAATGATAAATTACAAACTCACCTTCGAAAGCTTGTCAAAGCCGACCGTCGAGAAAAAATGAAATATTATAGCGAAGAAGCGCAGAGGAAGATCAGGTTTGGGAAATAGCTTGTTTAAAATTTGATTATTATTATTATTTGATAATAAGAAATTAAAAAAAAGATGTGTCTTAATCTAGGGATTTTTTAAAAAAGGTTAGCCCTTACAGGAGTCTTGAAGAACTTAACGAGCGATTGCGCAAAGAAGCCCATTCGGCAAAACAGGAAGAAGAAGGATTGATGAATGATGTTGAAACAACAGGACAGGCGTTTGAGGAAATGCAAGAGCAAAACACTAGGCTACTTCAACAACTTAAAGAAAAAGTATATTGTATATTTATTATATTTCCATCTGTTTTTTCTTGCGCGTATTATCGATCTTTTGTAAACAAAAATTGGTGTTCAATTAGTATATTTATGAATTAGCTCATACACGGAGATGTATTTTTTAAATTGTTCTTTATTTTTTGTTCGATTAAAATAAAATTTCACCACAGGATGATGCAAATTTGAAATTGATGGCTGAGCGAATTAGAGCAAATCAATATCAGAAGAAAATGAGTGAGGAACGGGAAAGAACCGAAGAACGATTAAGCAGCATACAAAATCAGTTAGAGGCCCAACAGCTCATGATTGGTAGATTGGAAGAGAAAGAGAAATTGTTAACGCAAAAAAATACTCATATTGAACATCAGCTACGGTAAATATTCAGAAAGCGTTTAAATCTCTATAGTTCGGAAGTATTTTATTATATAAATTATATATTTTATTATATAAATATTTTATTTGCAATTTTTTCATTATGTTTTAATCGAAACATCTTAATCTTAATTTAACTGCAGGTTAATGGAACAAGTGGCTGAAATGCATAAACGTAAAGCGGTCGAATGCGCTCAAACTTCTGCCGATTATAAAGCTCAATTAGAAAAATGCAGTGGCCAACTCAACGATGCACAACAGGTAATTTCGAAATTTTCGTTCATTCAGTTTTAAAATTGAAAAATTATAGTTAATAGTAGTACTATTAATTCTTAAGGAGGAAAAATTATACTATAATTATACTACCATTAAAATCGCACATGGTGCAAGTCATTACCAATATATGGGTATATGGAATAGATGGCATTCATCGAAAAACCTTTCGAATTTGCGATCATGCATTTTTTATTTCATATGGATCACAGGGGATAGAATGGTTCAGTGGGATGCTCAGTTGGGAGCACTGAGATACTGAGGTTCGATTCCTCGCAGGAGGAAACCTGTACAAAAATCCAGGTTATGCTGGCTCACCTTTATTTCTATCGCCAAGAGACTCCCCGGCATATTGCCCAATGCGACAAGCCAGTAGAGCGAGTTTAACTAATAATGGTGAAGATAATGGTGAAGACTCTTTAAAAAAAAAAATGAATGCATATAGAATGCAATATATGCTCCAAGGTTTATAATTTTCCTATTTATAATTTATGATTGAGACTTGTGAGTGAATTTGAAATATTTCAGTGAAAAGTTTCATCTTGCAGGCGTTAATCACTAAAACTACTCAACAAGAGGCTGATATATACAAAATACGTCGATTAGAAGAAGATAAGAATTTGTATAGAAAGAAATTAGAACGTGCTAAGAAAATTGAAAAGATGGGTACTATGGATGAAGTATTGTCAGAAGAAATTCGAGAACTTAAGGTAATTTTGAATTGCTTTAATGCCAAAAAAAATTCCCATGTTTAGTTTTCGTTCTAATTATTTTAATTTAATTTTAATTACCATTTGATGCCAGTAATTTTTTAATTTGTCTGAATTTTCGCGAAAATTCGTTGAAATTCTCGAGCTATTGTTTTAGACAGTTGTGCAAGCTTTCAGCTCGACAACTTAATCATTTATGCTTTCAGAACGGATATAATTACCTCAAAATTTATCATATTAAATTTATTATGCTTTCAAAACGGATATGATTACCTCATAGTAAAATTTATTATAGGATCTTCTTACTTGTCCCTCATGCAAGGTGCGAAGGAAGGATGCTGTTTTAACGAAATGCTTCCACGTATTCTGTATGGAATGCATGAAAACGCGTTACGAGACGCGAAGAAGAAAATGTCCAAAGTGTAACGCTGGTTTCGGTGCAAATGATTATCGAAGGATGTATTTCACATAGAACTATCACCGCTCAGCGTTTGAAAATTATTTCACGGGTGGTTGTCCTTTCATTTATTTATTTCTTTTTAATGTCTTTTTCCCACTTGTTGCTCCATCGTTTATGTAAATATAATTCATTTGAAAAGTTGTTAAAGTCGATTTATATTCGGTTTTTTAAAATATAACTTATGTTATGTTTTATTTTAATTTATATACTTGTTTCCTTGATAATAATTATGAATTTGTGGCACATGGATCATTTTTGTTTGCCTTTTCATGAGACAGTTGTCAGACAGGTCGTTTAGGTTTATCTAAGAATTTAGCAGAAGTCAAATATTTAAAGATGAAAATATATTTAAAGATCTTATTTTGCATACATAGCATATTCAATGGAATATGGATTTCACTGCTTTTATTTTCCAGTTGTTGATTTTACATTCGTTTTTTATCATTTGATTGTAAATTTCTGAAGATGTGCAGTTATTTTGAACACATAAAATTTGCGCATATTAATTTTTGTTTTGAAGGAAATTTTCACGCAATTCCTTGCTAATGATGAAAATTCGAAAGAGAAAATTCGAAAATTTCGTAGGTGAGATAAAATATTTCTATGATTTTTTCTCTTAACAGTTAACAGTTAATTGTTTATTGCTTAAATTAGTTTAATGCGTTTTTCCACTGCAGTTTTTATTTTATCAGATTTTTTTTAAATTTTTTGCAGTAAGATATCATAGCTTGAAATGAAATGCGTTGCACAGATTTTCGATACGATCTTTTAAACGGTTTACTCATTCTAGATGGTGGCGACTCTAAAACCTCTTTCTCCTCATATTACTGTTCCGGTTTTTCTAAAAGGAGGAACAAAGTAGTTTCCATGTTTGAAGCTAGATTTTACAAAAATTTAATTTGGGTTTTTGGATTTATAGCAAAAGTTGGGAAAATGTTATATTTAGGTCTCTTTGTGCTTGTGGCTGTTGTCACCCACTATTCATTGTCACAGGTGACCACTAACAAATTAAAGTCGAACATTATTGCTGTGATAATGCTGTTAACCAGCTCAGACTTTTCGTGCATTTAGTTTTTTTTTCTGTGCAGCTATCTGCGATGTGAGATATTTGCGGATATATTTGATGAACCAGGTTTCATTATAAAAAAATTTAAGCATGTCATTTCCTTCCATGCTTTTTTTACTATCATCGTTTTCATTTGAATTTCATTTGGATTTTAAAGTCTTTTAAGGTTGCTAAACTGCACTTGATGGGTAGATTGAGTACCTTAAGTACCTTAGCTTCTGATATATAAGACGAAAAGACTTTCCATTGATCCTGAATCCGATTCTCGGCACAGTTGTCGACACATTGTTTTTTTAGCGTTATTTGCATTTCATTATTGTCAGCAAAAAGGACTACATTATGAGTTTATTCACAGTCCGTGACACTAGGTTCTGGACTAATCTGCCCACTTGAATGCCGACAAGCGATGCCCATTATCCAGTCTATCGCATTGTTGAATACATCTTATGAGGTGACCCTTAATAGTCTTAACAGGCTATAACGAAAAAAAATACTCTAATTGGTAATTGGTCTCGTATTGAATCGTTAGCTCTTTTTTCGTTATAGTATCGTAATTATCGCCCGATGTGCACCTCGAACTTGGGTAATTAAACGTTTATTACGTTTATTTATTTATAACATAACATAACAATAAGAGTAAAATTAGATGATAACAGATTACATCAGACGATATATTACAAAACTGCATAAAGAAAAATTTCAACTAAAAAATTACGTCAAACAGATTACCAAAATTGTTAATCTGCCCCCAGCCCACCAATTACCCAGCAATAAAATCGAATTGAATTGAAAGAAGAGGAATCGGAAACAGAATCGCGGCCGCATTTGATTGGTCCTATATCGATTTAACGATTCTGCTCATTTTTGAGCACAAAGGCACACCACTACGTTTCCGTAACGATGGAACGAAAAATTGCACGCAGTTATGTGTTTTCGTGATTTGCTAGCCTTTCAGTCAAAAACTATCATAACCTATCGTTCACTTAGACTTGAATAATTAAAACTTTTGTTTTAAATCGAGACAATACGCAATATCATTAATCACACAAAACAGTAAAAATGCCACAAAATAAACGAAAACTAAAAGCGCAGCTTAACAGCCATTCTTCAAATGTGTTGGTCTTATATAGCCGTTTCAAATTGGAGGTCACCATCGTGGCCTTCACTTTGTCGGATTGCTCACTTTTCAGTCTGAGTCGTGGTGATTCGCTGTTTTTTAGCACGTCGCGTATCATTTCATTAGCCGTTCTTCGAGTTATATTACTTTGTGAAGAAAGGGAGATAGTTTCCTATTAACGGCTAATCGAGCCGCCGTCTCCATTTCCAAGTCCATATCACCCCAGTGGTGGCTTTTCCCTTGCTGCTGTCGTTGTAACTCGAAAAATCCTGTAGTCAAAATCTTCTGATATTCGTGCTTTAGCAACGTTTGCGGACGCTTGGTTAGTTGCTTCCAATATCCAACTAGCTTCATGCTAATATATCTTAGTGATGGCTCCATAAAGGTTTCGTCAACCGGAAGAACGCATTTCTAGCTGCCGTGATCCGAGTTATATGTCAACAAGGAGAACTGGCAGAACAGTTGGAACACGGAGTCAGTGTGGCTATAGAATTATTAATACAAGAAGAACTTGCGAATTAGCATTAGAGATTGATTACTATCGGTGTGAGTATGCTCAAAGTGTCAATTATATTGATTGTTATTAAAATTAAAGTGAAATTCGAATTAATTAGATCTATCATTGGTTCATTTAGTAGAGAATTCACGTCAAAAGGAAATTGTTGCTATTCCCTTAAATGTGCTACAGACTGATCTAATTAAAGAAGAGGAAGAAAATTTATCACTGCTATATAGATGTACTTTTGTTTTATTGTTAGTTCCACGACGGCTCAAGGTTTCGTCAAGCTCATTTCTAGAGCTCATTTCTAGTTGCCGTGATCCTGGCTATAATATCGTCTTTTGCCTTGTCATTTGGTATTAGAGTGGACCCGATTTAAAATTTAAAATCGGGCACTTCCTCGACCAGCAAAAAGAGGCATTTTATCAGCTTCTTGTATATAAGACAAAAAGACTTGTTTCTTCTATTATCCATCATAAATGCTTCTATTATTCTAATTTTATTGCATTTTCTTTGCAAGAAATTTCACAATATCTATTAATCAATCAATCTGTTATAAATACATATCATTTTCAGCAATTTTATATAAGATAAATTAACTCAATAACAGAAGAGAAAAATTTATAGGCTATTTATGCTGCTTGCTTTATAAATAATTAAGAATTGGTTGCAGCACTTAGTTCTCCACAACACATCATTTAGGACGTCACAATAAATGAAGCTTTTTTATCGCCACTGGCACAAATGAAGGCATATCGTCTGAAGATATCTCACTGCTCAGCAACATACAATGTTACGGATTACAAATGGATTATGATTACACTTATCTATGCCAAGACGAATACTATGGAGAACCGAATGGTTCGAAACCCGCCGACGCCTCACCGGACTGTAATACCGTCGAACGGCAAAAAGAAAAGAGGATAAAATATCCCAGTGGGTTACTGCTCAATTAGAAGCGTGCATGCTGAAGTTCTACGCTCGGCAACAATAATCCTGTCCTTCAAAAATACTGGCGACTCATCATGCATTACCAGTACGTCAAGTGATTCTTTGGTAAAAGTTTCTTCAGTTTTTGTTTTTTGCACTTTCCTTTGAATGAAAAGGATTGAGAACTTGGAGATATTAAATTTCAATCCATCAAGAATAGCTTTTATTTACAAAAAATTTGAATGTAAAAGCCAATTTTAAATTTCATATTTCTTTGCATACACAATTCGCAGAGATAAAGTTATATGCTTTTACTTTGCAGAATTAATACCACTCAAAATTCTTTTCAAGGTTGTTAATTTGGGGCGCCGATGATGAGATTCTATTCCTCCAGGAGATAATCCATCCAAAAATCCTGATGACACTGGCGATTCACCTGTATTGCCAAGGGATTTTCTCGTATAATGTTTATTGAAAATGCTGTCGCTAATCGCTCGCAGTTTGCTCATCTTTATCCATTCTCTGACCTTTTCCCCAGAGGAAGGGTGCAAACTAAGCAAACCGCATCGGTTGCCAAATCATTTGCAATTTATTTGGCATTTTTCAATCTTTAAATAGGTTCTTAATTTTCGATTCATTTTTGAAAACCTAGTAAGGTTCATCCTATCATAGGTCTGAGAGATTAAGGGTCTGTCCAATATCTTATTCCCAGCAATGCGCTCTACTGAATAGAGATCTCTGATGATGTTCCTGGAATCTGCTGAAACTATTTTTCTGGTTTAGTGGTCATAGTCCCTAGGGCTCCAGCCAAACTACTTTGGCCTTCACTTTTCACATCTTTCCTCTTTCAATTCCTGATTTCATGTTTCTTCTTTCTAACGTTCCTGTCGCTTAGTATTGCTATATCTAGTCTCACAAGATTTTCGCCTTATTATTCTCCACGACTTTCTAAGGAATCTCCCATTTGGCTTTGGAATCTAAGCCATATATGGAGCAGATATTCCTGTAGACTATGCCAGCTTTCTAAGGAATCTCCCATTTGGCTTTGGAATCTAAGCCATATATCGAGCAGATATTCCTGTAGACTATGCCAGCTACTTGATTATGTATATGTAAATGTATGGCGAAAAATTCATATGAAGCAGATGCACTAAGTTCTACCATTTTGTATACAGAATAAGAGAATCGCCATCCAAAAATAGTTTATAAAATTTATTATAAAATTTTTATGAAAGAATCAATATCATAAATACCATAATTAATATGATCGTGTATCTAACCAAAAAACAATTTCATCTCTTTTTGAAAAATGATATCCTCATAATAAACCGATTCGGAAATTTATCAACGAGTGAAATAAGATATCTCACCAAAAACTTTTGAACGCAGCTCAGATTTCAATAGGAAACATTTAAGAAATTTAAAAAATTAAAGAAACATAGCAGAATAGTTAAAATAGCATAACAATATAAGCAACAAAAATTCTAAAAGATGATTAATCTATAGGAAGCAAACTAATTTTCAAACCTCCAACTCAAGGCTGCTGGCGAGTGCGACCTACTTGCATTGACTTCTGGCATCATTTCAGCTTAAAAATATTTAAAATCTTAATGAAAAAAGATACATGAAATTACTGAAATTGCTGCAAATGACACAGAACACATATATGCTAACAAAATTTATTTAATGCATTATCCGCACAAGAAAAAAAAAATCATCAGTTATTTTTATAAATATAAAATAAATAAAATCGCAAAAAAATGTAAAGGTAATGAGCTCTCAAAAGAATTTTGCTAGAAATACCTTTATCTTTATGAACTGGCGAGATATTGGGAATCAGAGATAGAAAAGACCGATTCTTTTTGATGGAACGAACAAATGTGTGAGATAATAACTTTAAAATCGGCAGCCTTAAGAAAAATAACGAATATTAATAAAATTTATATAGAAAAAAGATAATAAGATAAGAACATACAGAATGGTTTCGGAAGCTGAATAAAAAAAAAACTCAAAAATACCGATGTTCTGGACTAGGCTTTAAACAGATATTCGCAAAAGCATGAAAGTGTTCAGTAAAGCGTCGGTTTCTTCTTTGATTTTGATTTGATACAAAGTTTTCTACAATTTCGAAATTTGAAATAATAATGAATAAAAATAATGCAATAAAATTTGCTAAAATACCATTCGATAACAATTTGGACATATTAAATTTTATCAGATTTTATGAAATGAAAAATTGAAATGAAAAGATGAAGGTCACTCACTGTTTTGTACGCTATCCACGGGCTAAACTTACCATCTTCAACTAAGGTCGTGCAATCCAGTAACCTGGGACTTGTTCCTTTACTTTTCTCGTAAAGCATCTATAAAGACCATTAGAGGAAAAAAAGAATAATGAAATGAAAATAAGCTTGAGAAGACTGAAAACTTCGCGGTAGAAAATGGAATTATAAATAAACATTGCAATCTTCTTTATCTTCCTTACTTGTAATCGATCCATGTCAAAGAACGGTGGGAATCCATTAGCCATTTCACATAATGTTATACCAATACTGTAGACATCAGAAAGCAAACCATAACCATTGAGATCCTGGGAATTATAAAATCAAATCTAGAAAAAATATTGGAAATAACATTTCAAGAGAAAATCTCACACTTTTACAAGCCATTTACAAACAATTCGAAGGAGCAATACTAACCTGCTTGAGCACTTCGGGAGCCAACCACAACAATCCTTCCACAAGATCCTCATTAAAATCGTGTAAAACATTTTTTGCCCCCGTTAAATGATTGTGCTTCAAAAACGCACAATTCCGCAGACCCGAAAGTTTCACCTGTCCATTTGAAGCGAGAAGAACATGACTACAACGAATGGATCTAAATTGTTGAAAGTTTAAAACAACATAAAATACGCCAACATATAATGGGATAAGAAATAAACTGATTCAACGAAAAATAACCTGTGAACGATTTTTTGACCATGTAAATACTGTACAGCCAAAAGCAAATTTTTTAAAATTTGTGCGATGGCTTTTTCTGGAAGGCCATATTTGCAATGAGTTTGAATAATGTGAAGAACTGATCCTGCAGAACTAAATACTGATAAAAATATAAAATTAAATACTGACGATAATAAAATTAAATGTGAGATGTTCGAAAAACAAGAAATTTCAATGCGTTATCAAAAATTCATTATATGCTTAGATATGCTTATGATAAATTTAAAAATAAAAAATAATAAAAATAAACCTAGATCATAATATGAGGAAAAAATATACACATCAAAGCCCACTGTGACAGATTCTTCAATAGAAGCAAGATTTGGATGCGAAAGCCAATTCAGAAACCAAACTTCTTTCTGAATTAAAAAATAATTCAACATTTTTTTATAAATAAATTTTCTTTCTTTCCTTGTATTTTCTTATATTTGATGTTCTGTATTTTCTTATATTTGATGTTCTTTTGTCACTCCATATTCTTATTTTGGAACCAACTCAGAACATTTACTGAGGAAACAGTGGCAATATCAAAATAATTTACTAATTTACCCTTGTTTTTTATTGTTTTCTCCTAAAAACCTGTCTTCTAAATAGAACAATGGATAAATTAATCGAAAATAGTTTTGAAATCGTGATACCTTTATAGTTTCATAATCAACAACTTCTAAGGATATAATACGCAAAGCACTAAAATTATTTCGTCCCTCACGCTTCGCTAATTGCACATCGACCAAACCGGAAAAAGCTTTTCCTGCAAAATATTCAATAAATTATCGAAATGGTGGTAGAATGGATCAGCGCGCGCTCCCATTTCACAGCGTCGCTGCTGGAACTTTCCTCCCCACAGTAGTAAATTTGCCTTGCAAAAAAAAATTAACGACTCTCTGGCAAAAATTTATTCAGTTTAACAAATCAGCAAAGCAGGCCTCACCAGAAATGAAGAGCTTTCTGGCAAAAATTTAAAAAAAATTTATTGGAAAGATAAAATGAACAGGAATTAATGAATTATACACCAAAAAAAACCAGCGAGGAAATAAACTAACCGATGATTCCGTGCAGACTAAATATTGGAGCTGTTTGTTTCATGGTACCCATAATAATAATTAAATAACACATTTAGCAGAGAAAAATGGCGATTAAAAGCCCTTTTAATGATATAAAACAAAAATTCCGATTTCTTTCTTTGCGGCTGAAAAGTAGGATTTTTCTAAAAAAAAACTTTTTTTACATAAAAAATTTATAAACATCGAATCCAAAATTAAAATTTTTTCGAATATTAATTCTTAAATTTTAAATTAATTTATCATCAACATTAAAATTAATCACAATTGCATCAAAAAAGATATGTAAAAATTCTTTCTCTAATAAATTTAATTGCTTACTTCAATTTTTTAACCTATTGGATCAAACATATATATAAAAGTCATTTTCACTGCAATCCCTGTAATCCCATCGTTGAGTCAAATATAATTTTGGAAACCAAATTGTCGTTCTTAGCTCGTTTCGGCAGACTCAAAACTTGAATTTACAGTTAGAAAGCAAAACATCAAAAAATTGAGCACCGAAAAAAATGGATAATTTACGACAATGAAACCAATTCAAACCAGTAAAATTTAGTACAACATTTTTCAAAGACAATTTAACAAGAAACATATTCCATTTAGATAAAATCCAAAGTCGAAATCATAACGAACAGTTTAAAAAAATAATATTAAAGAAGAAAAAATTTATTGCAAAATGAGGATCAATTTCATCAAATACATTTTAAATCTTTTTAAATCTTTTTAAATCACTATAATTATTAATGAAAATAAAACACAAAGAAACTAATGCCTATATGTCATATATGTCATATAATATTTCTTCCTATTTTTTCATTTATCACTCTACAACAACCAACTTATCACTAAGTGAATCACAAATAATCATAATAACCACAAACTGAAAAAAGAAAAGAAATCTCTCCCGCTTTTTCAATAAACCACCGGATAAAATGTGAATAAAATCTTACTTTTAGCTCAATCTTATCGAAACAAAATAAAATAGAATTCATGTTTTTTGAAACAGAAAATATATAAAAATAATACTGATCACTAGCAGTATACTTTTTAACAAGACATTTATAAAACAAATATTAGACTGGTAGAACTAAAGTTTACAACTAAAATTCTCCATCAGAATTTATAAAAATTTATAATAAGCGATAAAGGTATTGATGATTCTCGATATTTTTGATGATGTTCTATAAGAATATCTTAAATAAATTTCGACTAACGTTTAAATAGAATAAAATGAATAAAGAATGATTATAAAAAAAGTCATATAAAGAAAATTTGAATCTGCCAAAGAAAAAATTAAATGAATTAAGAATTTCAAGCAATTACAAATAAAATTTTCAGCATTAATTAATTAGCTTTATAGAAAAAAAATCTTAGAAGTTTTCGTCTAAACTTTTTTGAAAAATTACTGAAAATCTGCAAGAATGAAAAAATAATAAAAAAAAAAGAGGAATAATAGGAATGAAAAAACATATATGAATATATCGAAGAATTCACAAAGAATGAAATTGAATTTCAAAAGATGGCGTTTTATATTTTTAGAAAATTTTTTAAAAAGACTGAAATAATGGAAGAAAAATGATAAATCGTTGCTGTCATAAAGCAAACAAAATAATTCCCTAAATTTAATTGAAAGCATGATAAAAGGCTCAAAAAGTCAATGAAAGTTAAAGCCTATTCAGATATACACACCTTCAATATAAATTCATTAAAAATTTCAGAAACCAAAGAATTTTCACTAGAACATACGAAATACGTATAAAAATTATGCGATAATATTATAATATAATATTTAAATTTTAAAATGTTGAACTAACTAATAGCCAGAATAAATTGTTCACACTTAAGGTATCATAGATTTATCTTTAAGGATTAAAAACAAATATTTTGAAAATATTATGATTGAAAAATTTACGAATAAGTTAATGGCATAAAACATTTAAAAAAGGCAAAATTTAAGATTTCACCGTCGTTGAGGTAACTTTCATGAACTGGAATTTCTACTGAACATACACAAAACAAACCATCGATATTCAACAATGACTATTGAGGTATTCGATTTTTTTTTCGACTTCTTGAAGTTCTCGAAGTAAGCATGAATGCTTCGTTTTGTGATCCAGAGACTAAAAAATTAAGAAAGGATATCAAAATTCAGTCAATTCTAAAATTCTAAAATGATATCAAATTCAGCGGTAATCCTTATCAATTAAAAGCTAAAAATCTGAAAGGTTAAAATATAATACAAATGCAGCAAAAATTGAAAAAATTTTTGGAACGAAATGAATGGAAGATACAAATAAAAACACTGACCTGAATTTGTCGGCTAACGATATTTAATTCTACTTTAAGCTGTTTTTCTACAGCGCAGCCTAGCCCACCACTTTTATTTATATCATTCAATCTTTCGCGCACATCGACAATACGATCTAAAGTAGCACTTACAACGTTCTGTGGATCGCAAGGTGTTAATGGAAAAGATCGGATTACAGACGAAATTTGATTGTTTATAGAAGATGAATCAATTTTCTCCATAGTTTTTGTTTGCGCTGAAAAATTCACTTATTCATACTCACAAAACTTAAGAAATTCTATGAATAAAGAAAAAAAGAAAGGAAATAAAGATAAATTAACAAAGGATTAAAGGTTAGAGGATTAACAAAATGTAACTTCTGCTCATAAAAATTCTATTTGATTATCATCATTTAGGTTAAATATTACGATGTCCGCATAAATAGTAATAATTCATTAAAATCCTTCTTTATAAAAAAAGTAGTTTTATATTTTTTTAAATACAAACTTATACAATCGATATATAATATATAATATATATATAATATATAATCGATAAAATCAGTGTCACCGAGCTGTTCAATATTACTAACGTTTAATTAATTAGAAAACATACAACGTGGAAACTGAATAGCTGGACTTGGTAAAGGCTGACTGATAATGTCTTTTACTTGCATTACAGCACAAGTAGCTTGTACAGTAGCCGGTTTCGTTCCGTTTATACAAGTGCTTGATGGGCATAGAGAAAGGACATTGGTTGTTATTGCTGCCACATCTCCCAAATGCGTCCTAAACAAAGGCGCTCATAGAAATTTATAATAAAATTTAATTGAATAACGACAAAGCTAAAAAATAAAGAAATAAAAAACTGAGAATATTTACAAAACTTGCGTAGGAGATGCAGCACTATAAGGCAGTGGCAATGGTGGTAATTGCAAAAATCCTGTAGAAATGACTTCCTTATCGTCGAATAACACTGAATTCGCAACAGTGTACGACACATGACTAAATATATATATATATGTTATTGAGCAATAACTATATATTATTATAATAACTATATATTACTATACAATATATCAGAAATGCCGAGCGATCAAAAACCATTATACCCCTTCCAATTCACTAATATTGCGAAGAAAATCCGCAAAAAAAATTTAAAAAAATTAAAGATTCACCAAAAAAAACCAAAACCAAAAAATATTCATATAAAATACCCATTTAATTGGAAATTTTAAATAAAACGACGATCCTCGAAAGAATGAAACGGAAATTTTACCTACGAATGTCATCATCATCAACTTCTTCTCCTATATTTGAGTTCATAGCTGTAAGACGTCTGAAAACCATTGAAATTCGCATAAGAATAAAGTAAAAGCATATCATAGAATAAAGAAATATATAAACAAATAAATTTTTAAAATCTATATATGATTAACGAGTAAAAACATACGAAACAATTTCTTTTCTTCGCATGATCAGAAGTTCTTCATTTTCAATACAAGAATTTTTGGCACTTTTAGCTGAATCGCTTACAATCTCCAAGAAAATATATAAAATATATAATATATATTTTTTAATATTCACAAATAAGCTGATAAAATAAAATTAAAACTTACATTATTTCAAAAATAACAAGCATAAACAATAGATAACTGTTACAGAATAAAAAAAAAGCCGTACCAGATTATGCAAACTGTTATGATTTGGATCATCAGTGAAGCTTGTGTGCTCATTATTGTATACTTCAAAATTTTCAATAGGAAAGCTGCAATGAATATCGCAAAGTTCTGAATAAAATTGTGTATTTAGGCTGAAAGTATTATCTGATAAAATACTAATGAAGATAAAAAACAAGATGGAAATAAATGATAAAAGGCGAAACAAAATGTGAAAATAATAAAACAAGAAATATGAAAACGAAAAAGCAAAATAGAATACCAGGGAGGAATCCAATGAAAAACATTCGGATCAACGATAACCGATGGCGGATTTAGTAATGGAATAGGAATTTGAGAAAATGTAGATGGGGAAGACCCAGTCGTTGTAGACGTTGCCACAGGGAACTGAACTATGGCAGACAAATCAGTGGTACCAATATTACCATTTATATTATTTGATACGTTAGAAACTGTGGTTGGCCATACTGTAGCAAGAGATATCGATTGATCTGTTCCGTTTAGAGTACCGAAAGTCGTCAACTACAATAAATTATGATGCTTCGAAATGAGACTACAACATATGTAAAAACGTATCGAAAAAAAAGGCTAACCGAAATAAAAACCAAAGATCAAACTTAAAAACAGTCAAGAATTTGTTTTTAAACAAAAAATAAATGGCAAAAATTAAATCAAAATGAAAATCTACTTGATTTGTCAATGATGAATATTGTTTCATCGACTGATTGCTCTGAAGCATAATGGGCATCACAGGAAGGTGCATTAATCCACTAAGATCTGATCCTGTAATACTGTTTTTAAAGGAAATATCCAATTAAAAATTGTCTGATGGAAAAAACAAAAACTTACCAACTCGTTGATTGGATCCAACAACGGCTCCCGAATCAATCGAAATCGGTAATACTGGTACTGTTGATTTAGAAATCGCAAGAGAACTGCCGTACGAAAAATTTGGTTTTAGATACTGCATATTCTTCAAATCAGTAAAGCGACTGTTTCCTCGAAAACGACGATGTATACTTTGACGGAGTTCACTCTGAGAATGGGCATATGTGCAATGGATACCTCGAGGGCAAGATCGTCCAGCTTCTGTATCTCTAAATAATTGACCTTCACATCTTTTAACAAATATTAATTTTCCTGTAAAAGAAAAAAATCGTCGATGGACGTGCTTTTTAGAGTGCTTTTTATTCTGTAAATCTTCAAAAGAATGGTTAATGCATATGAATAATAGTTCGAAATTAGAAAGAAAATAATATCAATAATTGTATGATTTTATTAAAAAATCCTTGCCTCACCTCCAATGAGTGGAAATGATCATCCTCAGCCCCTCTACTAGAGGACTGGAAACTTGAGTCCTCCGGAATATATTAGTAATGCCCTCTTCTGGAGAGAAATATCTGATGTTGTACCTGAAGCCTAATGAAGCCACTTTTTTAATAATTAGAGGTTAGCAATTCCTAGAGCTCTAATTGTCACTGGGATAATTTTAGTCTTCAGAGTTTCCACACCTTTTCCAATTCCTCTTTCAGCATTTCCCTAATTTCTCATATTCCTTCTTCCCAAAATTCCTGTCACTTGGTAATACTATATCTACAACCAGTGCTGATTTCTGGTTCTTGTCTACTACCACGATATCTGGTTGATTGGCCGGTACTTGTCTACCTGGATGAATCCCATAGGATCTTCGCTTTATATATATATAGAGAACAATACCTGCCTCTCTCCACGTGGAGAATCCTGCCAGGCATTCAGGCATTATAGCCATCAATGTAATCATATCAGCATCGAAAAGACACTAGGAACAACACCGGAGGCTACAAACACCGTCTGATCACAAATAAGGCAGTCGCTCAAAACTCAAAATCCCAACTTTGGGCACAATTGGTTCTACTACAAGAAAGTCTATGACTCAATGCTCCATACATGGATTTGTGAATATTTGGCTCTAAACAAAGACAATAGGATTCTAAAGGTTCAATAGAAATGTAGAAAACGAAATTGAAATCAAAATAGCATACAAATGTGGTTATTAAGTGCGGCATATATCAAGGTGACGCATTAATTCTCCTACTGTACTGCATAGATCTAAACCCCTTTGGTCAGACAACAACGAGAAGTGGATATAAGTGGATATAAAAGGGAACTGCCATCAGCCATCTTCTCTACATGGATGACATTCTCTACATGTTATATGCTAATGAACGAGTCATTAACTATCTCATTTATCTAAAAGAAAATATAGCGAGAACATTGGAATTTCATTACAATTAAAGAGATGTGGTAGGATGGTAGTAAAGAGATCAAAAATATAATAACTGGTGGACAGCCATCAGGACAGGCAGATAGCAGACATACAGACTAGTTGCAAGTACCTTGATGTCCCACAGTCACATGGCAATCATGATAAGAAGGGAAGAAAGACTGTAACATCATCAGTATCACCAAAGACAAGACAAATCTTGAAGAGACAATTCAATGGGGAGAACAAAATCTGTGCCATAAACATATAAGCTTTGCAATTCATCAACTAGCATTATAAGATGGACAAAGGAAAACAAGGAAGCAACTGATATCCGGAAACTCGGAAACTCCTCGCAATACAAGGAAATATCCACCCAAAGAACGCAGCCGTAAAAACCAATGGAACTTTTTGAATGTCAACAAGACATTTGGAAGTACAAGATGAAAGATGGTACCAAAGAATGAGCTGCCGAGAGAACACCTGAAGTATCTACAAGCAATAGAACAAGGCCAGGCAGAGGAAATACCATTGGCAAGACCCTCCATTGGTTTATATATATATAATATATATATATATATTAATATATATATATATAAATATCATTATTCATCAAAATCAACAAAAACAAGAAAATTCAACACATATCATCTTGGAACAAGAAGAAACCTGCATAGACGGGTTTTATATCTGCGGTCTTTAGGATCAGCTATTTGGTAATAATCGTTTCCGTATGAACGATTTGTAACACCAGAGTTGCAAAATAACTTTTGGCCATTTCTAAAGTTTTCCTTATACGAATCGACGAATTTCTTCATTCCCTTTGCGCTTTTTCATTCCAGTTCGAACAGTTAATTTTCTGATTTTTTTTGAAGCAACTTCATAAAATGTGCCTCAAAATTTCAGAAATTGAAAAAAAAACCTCTTCTGAGTGATCATTACATGTGTCTCGATGATTTGCTCCAAAGATTGTAAGATGTTTAACATTTCTGGCCATAAGGTTAAATCTGAATGCAAAAAAATTAATAAAAAAAACCAAAATTATTATTTTCCCAAAAGAACGAAAGTTTTGACAGATTTGATCAAAAATTTTTCGAAAACTATAAGTAAATGTATTTGTCAGAATTTCAAGATCTAATTTTACATTACAGTTGAAGCTTTCTCATTTTAAAATCTAAAAAAATAAACAAAATACTAGAAGAAATCGAGGAGTCAAGCTCATTAAAGTGTTCAAAATGTTTGAAGATGGATACTACTGTTTCACAATCACCACTTCTTTGCAAAATTGTTTTTAATTCCCTATACATTTGATCGAAAGCTTGTGGCACTTGTAACTGAAAAATGGTAACTGATAAAAATAAACTGATATGCTATTTAATTTATTAAGAAAATATTTTCGAAAAAAATTGTGCGATAAAATCGAAAGAAAACCTTGTCTATGATACTTTGCATATGAGATCTATGTGACTGATCCCCATACAATAAGGATGACCACTGGTCAGGAGATATACGAAGACCAGCTTCAATTGCTACTTGAACAATTTGTGTATCATGCTCTCGTCGCAATGACTCATAATCTCGAAACTCAGTTTTTAACTGCATTAATGACGATTCACCTTCTCGCTTCATTACCTGTATATATATTTAGGATATTATATAATATTTTTATTGAAAATAGAATTAAAACAAGCTTTTAAAAATTGAAAATTAAAAATTCTCATTTATTCATAAAAAATGAATATGAAAAAGAAATACATTAAAACAACTAGCACGATAAAGAAGCTGCACCACATGGCCAACACTCGTTTTCGAAACTTGTGGATAATCTTCACGAAGTGTTTGAACGATGTACATAACGAGCGTTTTTCTTGCGATTAACGCCCCTTCAGACAGTGTTAAAAGGATTAACCGCAATACTTCTTCTTGCATCGCTAAAAAAAATGGTAAAAATTGGCCTGAAAAAACAGATTTGGAAATAATATTTTTTAGAAATAACCTGGTCCCAAAAACTGACAACCACGAGCTCGCACTGCCGACCAAAGACATGATGATAAATTAGCTGTATTTTGATGAAGAATAATCAGTTCAGTGAGAATACGTTCAACAAGTGCTCGAGCCACTTTTCTAGCCCTTTGCCTTCCTTCATCTTCCAATAATTGAAAACATAATAAAGCAATTAATTTGCGTTGCAAAGGTCGGCTTAATTCATTGCTCCAAACACTTCCACCTAAAATATCAGCATCATTCATTTATTTTTCCCTCGTATTAAACTTTAAACCCTTTTTTAAATTAAGCAAAAAGAGATTCAGAATTATATGAACAAAAAGAATAAAATCTTGTAATGAATTATGGTAAATTTTTCAAGAGAGAAAAAAATCAAACACCCTCTGTGGGCCATCCTTAAAATACTTCACCAGAAGCCTGAGAGATTGAGGGGTCTGTGCAATAACTTAGCTGTTCCTAGCAATGCGGTCTTCTGAATAGAGATCTCTAATGTTGATCCTGGAATCTCTTGAAGCTAGTTCTTTAATTTAGGGGTCACAATTTCTAGTCCTTTAATTATCACTCGGCCTTCATTTCCACATCTTCTCTAATTGAGAAGGCTAGGAAGACTGCAACATCTAACATCCAAGTATCAACAAAGGACAAGAAAAATTTTGAAAAGCCACCTCAATGGGAAAAATCCATGACAAAAATAAAATATGCTCTGCCATCCAGTAATCAGGTACGCAGCTGGCACTGTAAGATGGACAAAGGAAGACATGGAGGATGCTGATGCAAAGACTAGGAAACTCCTCACGGTGCACGAAAATTTCCACCCCAAGTCTAATACCCAGTGACTATGCACCAGTCGGAAAGAAGGCGAGGCCACTATCTTGAAGGAAACTCAAAGCATTCAGAAAAATATCAGTAAGATGGCATCAAAAGATGAATTGCTGAGAAAATGAACGATGTACACACTGGAAAACGATAAAACATAGGAAATACAATGGCAAAGCAATAACCCTCCATAGGTCGCACCATCGACATAGCTAAGATAGCTGATACTGTGAGATCCTACCAATGATTGGAGAAAGCTGAATCAAGCTATTGATATTGATTAGCAACACAGCACAGGAGCAAGCTTCTGGGAGATTCTTATAGTACAGAATAATAAGGAGGGAAAATCATGTAGGATTTCTCCATCCAAAAAGGCACTTACCTATTAAATAGAGATCGTGGTAATAGGCAAGAATCAGAAATCAGCACTGGTGATTGATATAGCAATACCAAACTACAAGAACGTCAGAAAGAAGGAAGCTAGCGAAATACCAATGATGAATGAGGACCTAAAGAAGATGTGGAAGTGGAGGCCAAAGTATTCTCAGTGATGACTGGAGCACTAGGAATTTCTAAACGAGAAAAATAGGTCTAGCGAATTCCAGAAATATGAATTAAAAATTAAAAAAACTTGCGTCCAGAACAGGTATTGCTAGGAACAATTAATATACTGATATTGCGCAGAATCCTCAGCCTCCGAGTCCCTGGTAGAGGACTCGAGGACGATCCATAACACCCACAGGGGATAGGAGATTTTTTTTACTAAACAATAAATAACAATATAAATAAATGCAAAATATCATAAATATATGCAAAAAATTTGAATCTCTTTGAAAATAAATTTAAACCTCGTTCGCTTTCTGCCTGATGTAAATAGGAAGATAAGCGGATTAAAATTTTTTCTGCTTTAAGAAAACATTCGTTCGTTTGAGAAAATCGCTCCGGATCACACAACTCTTTTGATATTTGAACTCCAAGAATTGAAAGGAATGCTGCATTTACAGGCAATTTTCGTAAATTTACTGTTACCGGCACCTAGAAATTCGATTAATAAACCACACTGATATTAAGTTAATTAAGAATCTTCTTTTAATTAATAACCTGGTCAAGAACGCAAAATTGAGAGCGATTATCTGCTAGACATTTGTGGCAAACTGTATGACCACATGGCAAATTAATGGGATGTCTTTCAGCACCAAACAGCTGAAAAAAAATTACGTTTCCTATCAAATAATCTAAATTAAGAATGCCTTGAAAATTTTTCAAGGTTTTGTCATCTGGAATTCAGTATATTATCCTAAAAATTAATATAGAAAAACTTTTAAAAAACTTTTAAAAACTTTTAAAAACTTTTAACTCAATTTACAGATCGAGTTCACTCGATTAGCAATAAGTCATAACGCACTGAACAACAGATAGTCGATATGGATCCAATGATTTCTACATGACTTTGATTAAAAATAAATTTTACTAAACAATTTGCAAAATCTAACTCAATAATATGTGCTTGTTTCGTGACTGCGACTTAAACAAAGTGATAGGGATATAAAGTGATAAAACTAATCAATCAACCACATTTTACAAATTAATCAATTGAATTTCTATTAACTAGCAAGTTTATTAGCGCAATTTGCGCTATTTGGCTTTAAAAAATACCACCGATTCCACAAATTCAAAAAAAGAAAAAAATAAGCAAAACAAACATTGGTGCACAATGAACAACAAAGCACGCCCGACCAAAGCGTTCCTTGACCCAATGGAGGCATTATTTATCAGAAATAGAAAACCATAAAGCCAATCATAATCATAAGAAATAAATTAAAAAAATGAGAAGATAATGTGAACCGTTATAAAACATCACCAGTTTCAACGATAAAAAACGGGAAAAAAAATAATAAAACTGAAATAATATAAGATTCGATATAAAAAATAATTTTTTTAAAAATTTCTGTCGATCGATCGTATAAAATCAAAATCAAATTTTGAAAAATAAATAAAATTATAAATAAAATTGATATATCTGCATAAAAAATATAAGCAAAGTCGCCAAAAACTACACCAAAGAAGTTAATGAAGTTCACAAGTGAAAAAAAATTTATTGTGGAAATAAACAGATAATGGAAAGAAAATAAGGTAATAACTTTAAAATGTCTGAGTAGGATAATTAGTAAAACAAGCAAACTCATTGGCTATTTTACTAGCATGAGTAGGCACAAACGATGACCGGATGGTATTATATAACTGCTTTACCTGAAATAAAATATACCTACATCATGGTAGTAAAAATTAAAAAAAAACAAGATTGAACCAAGGTGCAATAATTTACTCGAAAAAGAGATATAAGAACCTCAAAACATGAAAAAACGTACCAGCGATTCCATTACAATTCCCGTCGATACCAAAATTTTCGCGTTAATATCATGCTTTAGAAGTTTTACCGTTTGAGCTATATTAATAAAACATTCCTCCGATAAGAAAGGTGGATCGACCAAGATAACGTCAAAAATGCCATGATAACATCGTTCGATCGTTAATGGGACTCGATAATCGTAATGAATAAATTCTCTCGGGTATTTTGAAGCAAATCTTTCATCGAACTCGAACAATTTTACTGAAGCGCATTTCTTTTTAAATATCTAAATACCACTTAATATTTCTTTGAAAAATAAAATTTTATGAAAAATAATGAAAATTTTAGTGATATAAATAGAAAGAAACAAACTAAATTTAAAGCGAAAAATTCAATTCGTAAAAATAATATAAACTCATTTGATTTGATATAAGCTGAAAAAATGATTGAACAACAAAGAAACTTCGTTTGCGAGAATTGCAGGCAAAAGTGAAGGGCAGCAAACACATGCAACATGGCCATTTTCCTTTACAATCGAGGAACATTCATTAGAGAATTTTTGAACAGTTTCGTCAGAATACCAAAACTGGCTTAACTAAAAAAACTAAAATTGAAAAACCATGCGATTTTAAGCAAATCGAAAAGTTCGATTGAATTCGATAAAATTTAAAGTTTCATAAAAATGAACAAATTTGTAAATGAATTCAATGAAATTCTATGCAAAAGTTATAATTTTTTAAATTTTAACAACCTTATTAATAAAAATAATTTTTAAATAAATGGAGATGATTAGTCATTTTGATCAAACATGATCGAAACACAACTTCAACCCAGAAATAAGAAAAACTTGCTTGCCAATTTTCCATTAAATTATTGTCGTTAAAATTTTCTTCTCGTTGCATGTAAAATTTACATAGAGCAAGCAAAGTATTAGGTGATAACTCATCAAATATATCAATTCCATTGCTTTCGTCATCCTTCGTAATATTTTCCATTGAATTTTGGACTACAATCAATGAATTCATTAATTATAAATATTTTTTTCCAATTCTGCGCGCTCATTAAGTAAAATTGAAAATTTTTCACATATAAAAAACCTATATTGTTTTTAGCTTTTATTCGTTTTACCATTTCTTTTTTTCAAAAAGTCATCATCATTACTGGTTAGACTCGCTCCACTGGCTTGTCCCATTGGACAATAAACCAGGGAGTCCCTTGGCGATAGAAACACAGGTGAGCCACCAGCATCACCCGAATTTTTGTACAGGTTTACTCTTGTGGGGAATGGAACCTCAGTATAGTCGCTCCCAATTGAGCAACAACTCACTGCCATTCTATCCATTTCTATAAAATAATTATTTTTATATTATTAAATAAATTAAATAAAACTTTCAATTCAGCAAACTTTTCACATCACAACTTACATGACTTCAACATAAATTTACTTTTTCATATTTAAAAATAATAAAATATTATAAAAAATTTTCCCACCTAATCCGCTTTAATCACTATAAAGGATGAGCAATGATAAGCACTTCCCTCACATTCACTGATTAGTGAGGAAATAATGAAAATTGCACAATAAGGGAATAATCCAAATGAAAGAAGACTGTAAGCGATGAACCAGCTGAATGCATTTTCATTTTCAAATAACTCTGTGGCCAAACAGTAAGCAAAACCAAGAAACTGAACGAGCTATAAGAGAGGAAGGTATGAAAAAATAGGAGGAGAATAAGAGAGATCCATTATACGGCTTAATCAGAAGCAGGGAAAGCTGCTGTAGTAGAGAAGAGAATGCGGAAGCCACAGCGAGAATAGCGAAGTATGGGATGGATGACGCGGAAGTATCCATGCGAGGCGGGAAATATCTGCACAAACAATGTTCAGAATAATTTGGTCAATAATAATTTGGTAGGCACCCCGTGACGAACTGTTCCCTTATACTGAATTTACTTCATTGCCATTTAGACCGAACAACTGCAAAAATAAATGAACGCATGCATATTTTTATTTGCTAATAAATGCTAATAATCGACGAAAGTCCGAAGCTTCAGCAACAATAAATAAAACAAATTCCAAAGTTTTTAATTAATTTAGAGTAATAAAGTTCATAATGACCACCAGTTTTTGAAAGCGAATAAACCAGTATCACCTAACCAATAAAAAGTGAGACAAAGTTATTAAACAAAAGGATGAATTATGGTGGCACCGTATTTCCGAAAGTCTTGTCAGTACCCTTAAAAAACTTTGTAGCTCTATAACCACTCCACACAAAAACAATTCTATCGCATTTTAATGCATTTCATTCCTTAAGTCGCGCAATAACCTAACAGTTTATAATACTCAATTCTAAATTATATTTAAAATTATTATATTTACATTCCACTATCAGCAACTTGCTCTACTGCTACTAACAATTATTTCTAGAAAAAATAAATATAAAAAATGCAATCAAATTAATAAAAATTTAATGAAAAAATAAAAATGGTGAAATAAAAAAATTATGAATTACCAACCAAATTAATAAATTCAATCAAACAAATGAGAAGAAAAGAAAATATGTACAGAAAATATACACGCAATATTTATTTATAATTCATTTTAAATAACTAACAGCCAAAGGGAAAATTATATTCAATACTTTTAGGAAAAAGGACTGAAGATATACAAGAAGATACAGGTTCTATACAATTACACTATATATATATATACATATACAAACATATATCCATTTAGTGAAAAACCTGTAAAAATAAAAAACTTCGGAAAACTTGACAGTGCATAAAATCTGGAATTTCGAGAAATTATCAAAAATTTTAAGAAAAATTTTAGTAACAAATTTGATCAATGAGCTCCACACCTGTAATTTAAAAAGATGAAGCATACTATAGTACAGAAAAAATTTAGATCCTTGCAATTACAATTGATAAAAGGTAAAGTTCCCACCAATCTCATTATATATGAGCATAAACCAAAATTTATGAGTTTGATATACAAACTATAAAAAAATGGAAAAAATAGGTATAGCCGATTATCAACCAGAAACTGATTCATTTTCTCGTATATCATTCTTAGGACTTGACGGTGTTTGCTGTGTTTTTTTATGTTTCTGCAGCTGAAATAATATTTTTCTATAAAAATGAAAATCAACGCAGTTGGAATTAACAAAAATACAGAAAAATACAGAACAAAAATCTTTAAATTTTATAATAATGCAATTAGACTAAAAAATTTTAATTAAGAGCTAAAGATGATCTAATATTTATAAACAAATGAATCTAATTAAAGGAATAAATAATAACTGGAAAACCTACTATTTTACGAACGTGTTCTTTCGCTCTCAAGGAGTAAGCACTTGTGGTTTCAACGGTTGCTTCGACTGAATCAGCTGTATAAGGAGGCTGAACAAGGATTCGACCTAATACACAAATGCATGCACCTTGCCATCTTACATCATCTAGTCTGTATAAAAATAATCTATGTAATTTCGGGTAGAAATTTCAAATTATATTGTTAGAGTGACTTATATAAATGTTAAATTTCTAAAATTGAAATAAAAAGTGAAACGTATCATAAAATTTTTCACTTCTTATAATAAGATATGATAAAAAACCACAATTCACCAAAATTGTGATTCATGAAAACCAGAAAGAATCAATTCAAATCGAAAATGCAAAAAATACGTTTTCCTAAGGGAAATGAATGCATGTTGACCCTCGATCGAAACATGTTCTTGCATAATTGATATTCGTTTTAATGCTTCAGAACGATTAATTCGTTCTTTCAATTGTTCCACTGTTGGCATTTGACTCGCATAAGGAACAAAATCACTCGGCCGCTCCTTTGAACAGAATACCTCAAAGAACTTAAAATTTATATTTTAAAATAAGTCTTCACATAAGTAAAATTTTCATGTGAAAATAAATAGCGATATATACAGATTTGTTTTCCAAATTTATTTTGCCAATTACCATAAAAAATAATAGTCATAATAATAATAATAAATAATAATAATATATAATAATAATAAAAATAATAATAAAATAAAAAATAAATAGTAAATAATGAAATCAGTTATACCTTAAATTAATATTTGGAAAATATACCTTTTCAATGAAGGCCAAATTAATAAATCGCATTATGGGCTTCACTTCGGATACATCTCCTGCAATCTATTGTGACAATACAGAGTATAAACAGATTTCTTATATATATTTTATATATAAATATATTTCTTATATTTTAATAAATATAAATATTTATGAATTATTTAGATCTTTTTCTATGATACAAATAAATAAATTACATAACCATAAAAAATTTTGATATTTATTTTGATATTTCCTTAAGAATGCCGTTAAAATTGTCATACAAAATTAAGCTTCAGTTTGAAAACTTCTTAAAGGTGCTCGATTATGGAAATATTATAAGAATTTGCCCTTAATCAAAAATCCTAGTATCTTAAAATCACTTGGAATCAACAGACAATAAAAAATGGTAAAAATGCGGACAGTACGAGCTATATGTCAGTGTCATCAAAAACCATTTCAATAAACGAAAAGCAACCCACTAATAATAAGGATACGTGTAGGAGGATCGTAACATAGCACTTGCCCGGAATATGTAGTTGCTAATACAGTTCGACATTCAACAAAACTTCCCATTGTGAAGACTACATCTGATGCATTACCATTCAAAACTTCGGCTTCTGTTGAAAATTTTAATATACTTCCATCATCAGTAGTCATAACCTCAAAAACTCAAAAAATTCAAATTCGAAAATCAAATAAGTAAAACATATTAACATATTTGATATATAGATAACTTTAACCCTATATGGTTGCTTTTCGATATTACTTCTGTTGTTTTTTTTTATTATTTCTGGAATATTTTAAAATTCCAACAAACAATATGCTAACTTTTTTTCTTAAATTTGAAAAAAATAGAAAAGTAGGAAAATTTTCAAGGCATAGAAACGAACACAAAACAAATAAATGAAAAGAAAAATAAATTCAATTTTTTAGGTCCTTTCGTTTTGTTTTTGACAATAGTTTATAATAATAATCGATAATAGTTTTAACCGGACAACTCTATTTCTGATCCCCTATTGATTTGTATCTCTATGTATCTCTATTCCCAAGCGATTCCACGGCGAAATTATTTAATTCGAAAACTACTGATATCAACTTATCAAAATATGCATGGTATCGATGGCACATATGATAAATATGCAAACCGGGGTCTAAAGAATACCGCGGTGGGATTTTTGGACACTGAACGTCGAATGTCTAATATTTATGAATATAAGGAGCCAAGCGATAAACATCCTCACTTTGTCCAAACACCCAGTGGATACGTAGATGTTGGAATTTCATCCTCTCAACTCTGGATCTTCTTCTTCTAATTCTCATTACTGGTTAGGCTGGCTCCGCTGGCTACAAGAGTAAACGTCAAAATCGCGGTTGTCAAAAAAGCTTGATGAGCCATGGAATTCTAATTAATAACAACCTACAACAAGTTTTGCGTCGATCATGTTATACCAACGATCCGAACAGTAGTAGATTTTACGTAGAACTTGCGCAATGCCCTAAAAAAATTAGCTCATTTTTGCTACAGCATAGCATCTCCAGGTAGGTAAATATTCGAAACCAGATTGATTACATTCTGGCCAATAATTATTGAAATTGTGCACTAGATAGCCTCCCACATAGAGAAATCAAAAATGGTAATCTTACCAGAACGCGGTCAGAGTGATTCTAATGAAATTGACAACATAAACAAAATATCACCCACCGAAATCATTTGATTTAAAGTGCAAAGACCCAGATAGAATGGTCACATTTTAAACTGAAAGAACGTCAACAACTGGAACATCAGTGACCAACAGTAATCAGTGACCGAACAATAAGCGAGCCCTAATGATCAAACTGAATTTGGATTGAGTGGTTATACCGACAAAACCTATAAGATACCGAAATATCTCTCCAAATTTCTGCAGACAGAGACTCGGGACTCCCTGACAGATATAGAATCATAACAATGTTTTAGAATACTAACAAAACCTTCTGATATGAGAGCTGACATGCATGAAGGTTGTTTCTTCTTCTATAGCGACAGATCGAATTATGAAAATCACTTGTCAGCATATAACAAATCAATCCAGCGTAGCCTTAAATATGCTGATGATGTTATCCTTTTCATCACACAGAATATTATAACATTAGACTGGATGTGAACAATACCAATGAAAACTGGTCCAATATAAAAAAAAGCCACCTTATAAAAATTCTTTGTTGGCTCAAAATTCTTTATTGTATCGGATTTCAATAGCCAGGTCCACCTTACATCCATTGGTCAGGCGAAAGATGAAATTCGAACCCAGACTGTTGTAGCTAGAAGTATTTTCATCCTCCAGGTGAACCTCTGTGTAATCGCCGTAAAATTGGACATAAAACGAAGGCTCCTATCTATTTGCTGTTGTATATATATATTTCTTTTCCACGGCTGCGAAACATAGCCAGCGAGAGTGGCATATGACTGATTAGGCCATGTTCTTTGGAAGAAATTCATATATATCTCTCTATTTCAATTTCAGTAAATTTCAGTAAATTCCAGGTCCATCTGTTAAGCTTCGTGATGGAAAGTTAGAAAGTTGTAATAAAGGGGTCAAATAAAGACTTGAATAGACACTGTGAGGAGAGAATTCGAGCGTACGATAGCCCAGCGATGTACGGGCTCAGACGATGGAAAAAAGCGGCTTTAACTATTTCAGGAACAGCGTTCAGGCAATTCAGACATCGCACCGGCGGCGCTGGGAACTAAATCCGACTGCAGTCGTCAGCCAAACCAAATTCCATGCATCACTGGGGCATTTAAAAGGAGAGACATTCGGCATTCTCTAAATGAACCGAAGTAAATTAGAAGTGAGCAATTTAAATGCTCAATGAAATAAATAAACTAAGCAATTTAATAACTCACGAAACACTGAATGCCAAATATCTTTAAAAAGCATTCGAAAAATCTGAGAAATTAAAAATAATCAGAATATATCGTCGTTATTTGCTTAAAATTTGACTAAATAAGCACTAAAATCGATCGAAAAGCATAAAAGAAAATTCGCTAAAGAAAAGGATTAATCAAATTGGATGTAATTCGACGCGGTCGAGGAATTTGCAAAAAATTTTCAAGCGACCTGCGAACTCACTGAAAGATTTCGAAATGACTAAATTTGCGACGAATTCCTTCCCATCTAAAACCAAACCAATAGCAGTGCCACTGGCCACCACCCATCTTTCTTACGCATACAGGAAACAAGGCCAACTAAAATTGCACATCAATACTTCTCTCACCAATCTATGACCGTTGACATAATATGTGACATTCAGCTTGGAATGTATTCGTTGCAAAACCCATAATTCGACTATCACAGCACAAAATCCATCCACAACTGACCACACAAAAAGAAAACTATCGGCCAATGCATCGCCTTATCACATTCATTTCTCCAACTAAAACAGTTTTGCTATACCTTTCGCAAACATCATGCCTTGAAGAACTAAATCTCTCCTGAAATCTCTCCCAATATCTCTCGGAAAACAAATATTGATTTTGATTTTAATTATATATAAAGGTGAACTGAAAGGATATCTCCTCTGCAGTGTCTCCTGGAAAGGTAAGCGAGTAACGAAATATTTTCAACTTTAGTGGTGGGCGACGAAGAAAGCGACATTTTGTGATGATATTTCTAATGCATGTGGCACTTGAGCCATGAATAGATGCAATCATATGACATTTTATCAGCTCTGCAAATCCGCAAAATGTATCTTAGACATGAGTGCTCAAAGCAGATAATTTCTTAATACCTTTCATCGGTCACGTTTCGCAGTAACATAGTAGTACAATCGAAATACAGCCACATGGATATGGACTTTCGTTTTTATAGTGAGTTCGCGACGGGCATTTAAAAGAACATATTTCTACCGTTATCGGGGTTGTAATTTCGTCTTTTGCTTGACCGTTCGGTAACCGATCCAAGATGTTTGAAATCTAGCACTTCTCAACTGACGGTGAACTGATAAGAATAAGTATATAGAACGATAAGACTTTTGTTAATACTTTTTATTTACGAGTCCGATTCTCGCTGCATTTATTGACGCACCCTTTAACATTATTTGCATCAACATTATTTTGTCAGCAAAATATCAGCAAAAAGGACTGTACCATCAGCGTATTCAAGATCTTTGATATGATACTCTGGACCGATTTATACATTGAGCGTCCATTACCCAGTTTATCGCACAGCATGTAGCCTCGACTCTTCTTTCGAAGGAGTTCTCCATACATAGAGACTTGCTTCGATGTACGCTAGTAAAATGCCTTCATGAACAAGCACATAAGCACATCAATAAGCAAGAGAGTGAAGAACAATCGAAAGGCAGATGCCACAATTTAGGCTCGATTGACCTCATTTTATTGTCCATAAATAGCGATGCAGACATTTGAAAATTAACCTGAGGAATCAAATCGACAATGTCCATCATCAGAAAGTTCTCGCTGTTGATCGTCTCGTTACTATTTATTTTACCATTCTTCCACTCGTTCTAATCAATTTTTATTTTCGAAATTTCTTGAAATGCGCATTATATTTTTTCATAAGAATAATTTGCCTGAATAAAGTTTTAACCAAATTACCCAAGTTCCGCAGAAAATGGATATGATACTATTTAACGAGAAATGAAATCATGAAATCATAAAGGAATGAAGAATAAATTCGTTCATAAATATACTCTCGAAATCATATTATTCTAAAACCGTTAACCATTTTATTCGGTTATACGCTAATTAATCTTGCATTTAAATAAGCTCCCACAGATGGCCAAAAAGTAATAAGTAGATAACCAATATAACATAATGTTTCGAATTTGAATATTGCCTTCCAGAGATTCTTAGAAATGATTCATAGAACAACAGTGCAACATTTTTTTTTTTTTTCATATTCACTTGGATTTCTTCATTTAAACTCTAAACCAATAAAATATTCGTCTTAAAGCACTTCAATATTTCTCGAAAAAAAAATCCGATAAAAATTTACGAGGGAACTATCAGGGACAATTATTATTAAACGACTAAATTGCTTTAATACAAGAATACTTAATTATACCGCATAAACTATACTTTATTGTCGTCGAACTACTGATATCATTAAAAAGGCAATATTAACAGTTCTTCATCGGAACGTACTCCAAGTGAAATCTACACTATTTCTAGAAAATTTCCGTTTTCATCCAAAGAAAATAACTGAATTCTTTAACGACAATTTTATTAGTAAAAAATCAAGCATAAAATTTTGAAAAAAATTATAAAAATTAAGCGATAGAACCAGCATTCGATGCAATACGTGGCCACAAATCCGCACATTCTTTTGCTATTGGACCTGTTATTGCCGATCCTTTCATTTCACCTTTATTATTTACAATTACACCAGCGTTATCCTCAAAATATATAAATGTTCCATCTTTCCGCCGATACTGTTTTCGCTGTCTAACCACCACGGCTTGCAAAACTTAAACAGAGTTGTTTATCACATGCTGGTTGAAATATCAAAGGATAAAAGAAAAGAGCAGACAATCAAACTGCTTTGATGGCATTCAAATATCATGGATCCATTTTCCAATGAATGGTACGACATTTGTCATTAAAAGTGAAATTCATGTTACTTAATGGAGTCTCCAGAAAAAAGATCTCTTTTATTGAAAGCTACCTGAATCAGAAATGATGAACCTTGTTCGAAAAAGAAATATCGGAAGCAGAATAATGATATAAATTATAATAAAAATACCTTTTTTACGAAGCTCTGGTTTTCCTTTTTTGACTGAAGCTACAAACATATCACCAACACCAGCACTTGGCAAACGGTTCAATCTTCCTCGAATTCCGAACACTGCGATAACAAATAAATTCTTTGCACCCGTATTGTCGGCACAATTTATAACTGCTCCAACCGGAAGACCTAATGATACGCGAAATTTCGCTCCAGATGCGCCTCCACGTCCTCTCTTCGACATCTATTATACCTTAAAGTGAAACCTTTTAATCAATAAAAAAACATTAGTAACATAAAAATTCGCCATAATAGACAATCAAAAAAAAATTTAGAAAATCTTGAAGTAATTTAACAAATCATTTGTTGTCGAGATTTATGTAGCTAATCTTAAAGTCGACTTTGAAATTTTTTAATTTTTTTCAGTAATATGAAATAATCATTTGAACGTACTCTATGTAAAATTAAATTCAATTCGCATAATTTTCAATTAAATACTTGATGAAAAACCAACTGAAACTCTTTTTTGATCTCCTGTCTCCTTTTGTCAATTTCATAAATAAATAAATAAGTAATTCATGATTTAAATAGACAATTTAGAATTTACCAATCCACTCACTTCATCCCTCGATATTATCTAATTTTATTTTCAGCTGCACTACTATTTCCATCGTTTTTCTCTAGTTTATTAGCCAGGACTGTGGATATTCGGAAATGCTGAAATTATCAAATTGCCCGAGAAGCGACTGCCCAACATTCACATTTGATCTTAATGGCCTCATACTTGGGAATGGCTTAGTGGGTTGTTGCTCAATCGAGTGCCGATGTTGAAGTCCCAGTAGTAAATCTGTACAAAAATCCAGGTGATGCTGGCGACTCATCTGTATTTCTATCGCTAAAGGAGTCCCTGACATATTGCCCAGTGGAACGAGTTTAACCAGTAATGTGAAGATTCTTTAAAAAAAAATCTATTAAAAATTTCTCGATTCACCCTTAATTCATATTTTCCTTTTTCTAAAATCTCATACCATTACTGGCTAGGCTGGCTCCAATGGCTACAAGGATAAGATGTTTTCAAGCGACACGGTGTGATGCCATCGACAATAACAGAAGCCATCCTTTTTCCACCGTTTAAATCCATATATCACTAGTCTTCCTTTATGTGCAAAATCTTTTCTGACCATATCAGCCCAGGTCTTGACTGGCCCTCTCCCATTCATCACAGGGTTTAACATGTAATGAAATATGTGTCAAATCCTGTGGTTGGCGAGAAGAACGTGCCCTAACTACCAAAGGCGATACTCTGTGATAACATTATTAATGCAAGTATTATTTGAACGAAGGTGAATGGACTCGTGTGATATTTTATCCGCACAAGGGACCCGTAAAATGTACCTTAGAAGAGTTGTCAAAGCCAAACAACTTAACATCCTCCACTCTCATGGGCCATGTCTCAGAGCCATATAGCAAGATCGAACGAATCGCTGCTAGATGCGGAATTTCGTTTTTATGATGATTTCACGGCTCATAAAAGTTTCGCCAACCAGAAGAACGCATTTCTAGCTACTGTTATCCTAGTTCATCTTTTGTCTTGCCGTTCGGTATTAGAATAGACCCAAGACATTTAAAATCCTGCATATCCTCAACCAACAATGAATTTATAAAAACAGGTATTTTATTACCTTCTTCTATATAAGACTCTTGCTTTATTTACACTGACCCGGTTTCTCGCTGCAGTTGCTGATACACTGTTTAGTATTATTTGCATTTTGTTATAATTGTCAACAAGCAAAAAGAACTACACCATCAGCACATTCATTCAAATCTACGATACAATGCTCTGGACTGATTCATATATTTCTTGAGCGCCGAAAATCGATGTCCTCTATCGTATAGTTGAATATTTAAAGGGAAAGGACTCAGTTTCGATGGACGTCAATCAGTTCTTCTTTCTTCATATACACAGACCTGTACGCTGCAAATATACGCTGATAAAATGCCTTTATGAGTCGAATGGACTTTCCTGGAACACCATCGCATTCCATCACCCTCCAAAGCACCCCTCTATCAACTAATTGAATATTGCCAAAAAGTCAATGGAACACGTAACGGTGGACTGCAGATATTTTAAGCGATGTTCCAACATCTTTCTTAACGAGAATATCTGGTCACCACAACTGCGGTCTGAATCAATCTTGATATCCTGCTGTCCCGTATGGTCATAAGTCTTTTATGGAAAAGGGAAGCAAAAATTTTCGTTTAATAGGTTGAGACGTCTAGTAGGCTGATTACTCGATAAATGTCATAGTATGTCCTGTGATTTTTCTTCGATATTGGGAGCAGAATTGCTTTCCAGTCATCTGGTACTACTTTCTTTCTTTCATACCAGGACGTACATTCGTTGAAGGTATGCTATGAAGAATGACAGATAGTATTTGAAGACCATCTTCTGCGGAGTTTTATTGGCCATAAGCCTATGGATAATTGAAATTATTTCTTCTTTTGTTGGCGATTCGCAGTTGCAATCATATGGTTCGACCAGCGAGCCAGCTACATCCGGGATAACAGATGGCGCATCATGATTAAGTCCGGCTTCAAGGAATTCTTTCCATCTTATGAGGCGATTCTTAACAGCCTTGATATATAATACATATATTATCATTTCACTGGCTGCTCATCGAGTTATATTTGCTTTATGAATGATGCCGAAAAGTTTCCTATTGTCCAGTCGCCATCTCGCTCCAATAGCGATTTTGTCCCGCCGTGCTGCTGTCGTTATAATTCTTGGAAGCATTCGATAATCAAAATCGCCTGACATTTACGCTTTGGCAGCTTTTTTAGTTAAACTTTTGCTTCCGATACCCCACTAACATATTTCCTACTAGTATATCCTAATGTGTAAGTGGCTGACTCTTGTATGCATGTCTTTAGTTGGGATTAATATTTACCTGCCGTTTCAGAAAAGTCATTGATATTTACACCACTGAAGTGCTTTAATAATTCAATTTGAAATGCACTTACCGTCCCCAAATCTTTTAGTATGAAATATGAAATAGTTGAAAGATCTTGAGGGATGTTGTTTTTTTCGAGCTGTAAACTTTATACGGATCTTAGTAGAACTATAAGATGGTCAGATCCATGAAGGTTCGTCACGATAGGAATGACTATCTAGTAGGGAACTCTTCCAAAGGTGACTGATTAAGATACAATCAATCTGGTTGGTTGTCCCAAGAGTTCCACGTGGTATGATATGTCTTTTACGATGCGATAATAACAAAAAATTCATGCCCTTTGGCAAAGTGAAGAAGGCACTGGCGCACCGGACTATTGTCATATTTACCAATTGTCCAGCCTATCGCAATGGCATCACCTATGTGCGATCTCGCCCCATTACGACCAAGTCATGTTTTAGTAGAGATTTCAAATGAAGTTTGGCATAGAACTTAGCTTTATCATGATCACTACAGTTGGAACACTAATGACTAATGAGATATTTCCCTCGGCATAGGCCATACAATTGCTCACCAATTTCCACTCAATCAAAGCAGAATAGGCATTTCCAGATATGACAATCGCTATGCTGTCCCGAGTTATCCGAAACATCACAATGACATAGCCACCTCTTCTGGTCGGATCCAGATTCGATACATCTAGAGTAAGCAATTACTCGAGACCCGAAGTGAGGAAGATGGATCTTTGATAAGCAAGCGACACCCACACGATATTTAGAAAGAGCGTAGACTTGAAACGTCCATAAGTTATGACTATCTACGCTGCTACGGCTTATCGCGCATACAATAAGCTGTTCCCCTTCACAGGCTTTGAGCAACTGATCTGGCTTGCGAGCATATTTTATTTACAAACCTTGGGATCGTTTTACGCCAGAATTGTTTACTTATCGCATGTACCACTGGGTTGGGGATTTGGATTCGTGTCAAGAACATTAGACCTTTTAACATAGAGGTTTACTCCTGCCGAAAACAAGAATAAAGAGGAAAAATTAAAGATGTCCAAACGAAGAATTATAATAATAATCAATAATAATTTCCAGAAATGAATCGAAGAAAAGAAAATCGAATAAATAAATTAAATTTTAATAAATCCGCTGCTTTAAATCACTTGCGAAATAAGGTATTGAAAAAATCGTTGTAAAACGCAACGGAATATAATTGAGCCGTCTTCACCACAAAAACTGATATATTTCTCTCTTCTTACACGTCGACCTTCATGATTGACGCGTTGAAAGAAGGAAGACTGAATTAAAGCAATTAGCAAGGAATTTAGGAGGGATAACCCGCAATATAGGCCTGGAAACGGAGAAAGGAGTTCAAGTACGACGCTCGACAACTCGAAAACCGATGAAATACAAGAAATTATACATTTTTGTATAATTTTTAATACTTTTTAAATTGTAAAACTCGCTGTATATGTGACATCATTGGCTGTTCCTAGTCGAACGCAATTACGTTTGAAACCACCACAACCCTCCGAGACTTAAGCCAAGACAAAACTAGTTCAAGCAAGAACTTGGCATTAATGACGAACTAATAACGAACCGCATCCTACACAACATGGTGGCTTACGATAGTGCAATATCGTTCTAGGACCGGTTCCTTTAAATTTCCCAACAAATGCAACGCCACTCCAGCCCGGCATTTTCCCTCTGGCACCCCATCTTCTTAATTTTCATGAACAGTGAATGCAATAATCCATGTTTTTGAAAAAAATTCATCAAATCCCTCTTCCGATATGAATTACATTTGTGAGCTTTAAAATCTAAAAGAAAGGAATTTAAAAACGAATCGCCTCCGATTGAAATTAAAATTTTATAAACGAATATATTAAGTACCACAAACAATATTTTAACTACAAAAAACAAGGAATCCAATATTGGTGAATTTAAAAGTTCTTCAAACTACTCTCACTTAGCCAAAATGAATAGCAAAAGAGGCCGAGTTTTCAGTTGCACCCTCGAAAATCTAAAATGCAGTTCCCGTATAATCATTGTTAAGCTTTTCAGGATTTAGTGGAGGGAAATTTTCCAGCTTCAGTCCAAATGTGCGGATTTGTTTTTTTGATAATAATCAGTGATAGAGATAAGATTTATCGATCTTATTTCAACGGAACGAACTGTCTGTTAAGTCTCATTTTTTCAAAATTAGGATAATCGATGCAAATTTATTTTTCCAATTTTTTACTAGAAATGCTTTTTCAAAAGGAAAAACAAGGATTTCATAAAAAGAAAAAATAAATTTTTCAGTAAATAGTACTTCTTATATCCGTACTTCTCATAGTAGTGAAGCGGTCATCGCGCAAAAAATGCGTGGCTTACGTGAATTTGCGTGGTTTGCGTGAATGTTATGCGATTTAAATTTTAAGTGGAAGAGAACATTAATGTACATTTTTAAAATCATTATTTCTCCTCCGTCGATGAATCGATGAAGCGAATGCGATGCTACTTTTTTAGGGATTTAAATGGATATAATTTTAGTTTTACGGCAATGAATATTTCTTTCAATCGCATTCAACGAGAATGCAAGGAGTTATACACCAGTAATGAAGTATTTTTACGATTTATTTCCATTTCTAAAAATTTTTTCAAGGAAATTAAAATTTCCGAATTTTGCTTTCAGAAAAAAAAGCGAAGCTATTTCCTCTCAGCTAATTAATTTTTCGTAAAAAGATATTTTTTGACTCTAGCTTTCCGAGATTGGAATTATGATCGAGGTTCTCGATGAGACGTTAACAAATATTCGAGGAGAAATTCGAGGTCCACCTGATACACCTTATGAAGGTGGTAAATATTCGATAGAAATGCTTATACCACCCGAATATCCTTTTCAACCACCGAAGGTTCGCTTTTTTTCATTTTTTAAGAGTATTTCTGGTTAGACCAGTGCAACTATGCCAGGGAATCCATTGGCAATAAAAGTACAGGTGAGTCGCTAATATCACCCGGGTTTTTGAAGGATTGCTTTCTATCTTACTTGGGACGGGGCCTCAGCATCGGCGCTTCGAATATTTAAAAGAAAAGTAATAACTTTAATTATTTATTTTTATTAATCTTATTACTTTTCTCTTAGAAAAAATAGGAAATATCATCTTCGTGAAAATGAATGCAGGTTCAATCTTCTCGAAAGCGAATCTAAATAAAGCAAACTCTTAAGTAATATAATATATTTTTACAGTAGTACAGATGAGATCTCTTCGCAGTGGGTTGGGAGTAGAATCATAGCTTTGTCCACATAACGACTCGATTTTCACTTTAGTGTTAGGTTTACTTCAAGAAACAAGAACCTAAATTATAACGTGACAAATCATTTAGCCATGTTCTGTCTAATTTGCGGCGTTTCTTTAATGGTATAATTTCTATTTAACTAATTCATGTTTTTATCATGGTGGCGATTGATTCCTTTCCTTTTCCAGTGTAAATTTATCACGAAAATTTGGCATCCAAATATTAGCTCACAGACAGGGTCGATATGTTTGGACATTTTGAAGACTGAATGGTAAGTCTTCATGCATTTTTTCGCAAGTTTTTCAATATACATGTCTGTATTTCATCATTTGTGATTATTGATTATAATTGTGATTATTTTTTTTAATTTCTACATCTCCTAGTGCTCCATATTTTTTTGCCGTTTCTTATTATTTTTTATTTCTTTAACAAGTAGATTATTTAATACGATGGTTTAATTTAAAACTATTAGTGATATCTTGAAAATTAGCAGTAAGCTTGGAATGGAATCGAAGTGGAAAGTTTTTGCTATTGATTTTTTTCATATTGGCATTGAATTTTTTATAGGGCAGCTTCATTAACATTAAGAACTGTACTACTGAGTATTCAGTCGTTGCTTTCTCTTCCAGAACCGTTGGATCCACAAGATGCTGTTGTTGCAAAGCAATTTCTCACTTGCCGCCAAACGTTCGATGTAAGTGGATAATTTAAATTTTCGATCATCCTGTGATAAATTCTTATTAATTTTAAGAGAACGGCAAAATTTTGGGCTCAGCGTTACGCGAGAGCTAAGCAAAATGAACCATTCGATTCAGAATTTGTTGATAAAATTGAAAGACTCCGAGATATGGGTTTCGACGAAGTTTGTTGTTTAATTCATTATGATATCACAAAGGCAAACAACTTTTTTTATCATTTCAAATACAGCTCATTTATTTTTTTGTTTATTATCAGTTGATATTTATTTCAGTTGGTATTTCTTTTCTAATAAAAGAATTAAATTGATAAATCCAAATAAATAAATTTAAATAAATTGCTTTTCTCTAAGCATTTAAGGTGCAAACTTTCAGGAGTCAGTAGTACGAGCACTTAGTCATAATCAATGGGATGTATCGAATGCACTAAAGAATATTTGTTCTTTATAAAAAGTTTTCTTTATTTCCTTATTTTATCAAATTTTTATCTTTATTGTGGCCTGCTAATTTTTTTTTACGTTTTTATTTCAGTCAAATTTTTTCTTTTCAATTATATTTTTAATGAAAATTTGTAATCAATGACGAGAATTAATTTTTTAACTTTTGTTTTTCTAAGCCTGTTTGGTGAAATTGATTACTTTTCTTGCTTCATGATATTTGTAGAGAGGTTCAGCTGTGTAATCTTCAATAAAATTAATGACTGCCAAAATAATATTTTTTAATTTCTGAGAATTAGTGCATTAATTGGATTTCAACGAAATGATTGTTCATATTTTTTTATTTTTTTTACCGATAATGCTAATCAGATCATCGGAAAAATTTTCCTTTTATAATGTTTTATAGTTTTTTTTTTCTTGCTTTGTACTTACTGATTATCATCATTTCGAATAAAACATATGAATTATCAAATTTTTTTGAGCTTTTTTTAATTAAAATTATAAAATTTGTTCTATGCAAATTGGTCACTTGTCATTTCCTAATTTTTTTTTTTTGTGGAAATAAAATTCCACTGAATATTACGTTAATAATTAGACCATTTTTTTGCTCGAATTTGGTTTATGTTATAATAATGATACTTCAGAGATGGATTTAGTTGGATTGGATGAAATCTCGCTATTTTTGCGACATCTGAGTCTTATTTTGAATTTTTAGTTGATTTTTTATAAATTGATTTTTGATAGGCAGTGGATGATAAGAATTGGAACTTTAACAAGAAATAATACTTAGTTTAGAGATCTTTATTTGGGTATATTGAGATAAATTGCACTGGTTGCTGCTTTTGCTTACAATTTTAATGCTACGAGAAGTATTGGGCTCAAATTACGCAAGTCGAGCTGTAGGACTAATGTATCGTTTCTTATCTTCGTCCATGTTTTTTCTACGACTTTATATTTGTTTCTTATAAATAAATGAATTTAGTGGGAAGATATGTCGCAAATGAGCAAAAAGGACCGTGAATGTAAGTTGGAGGAGGAAAAGGATGACAAAAAGAAGTTGAAACCATGCTGTGCATGTCCCGACACAAAAAAGGTTCGTTTTTTTCAGTAACTGAAAAGATGGAAATTTTCCAAATCTTTTAGAAATATTGCAACATTTTCTTTTGATTTTTATTTATTTTATTAACATTTTCAATAAAAATTGGTATATTTTTTCGTCATCGCTGGCAATAAATTTTTGGCAGTGTGTCCTTCCTCGTTCAACTGATTCTAAAACGAACGTAAATGCTAACGTCAATGCTACTATAGTAATTGTGTGCATCTGCAACCTTATCCATGTATTCGTCTTTCTCTCACAGTTTAAAATTGGATTAACATTGGAAGAATCTTAGTAAATTGGCATATTATAAAATGTTTTTGTAATATAAAATATAATATAAAATATTATTTCAGGCTCGTGATGAATGCGTTTTATTATTTGGAGAAGAAAATTGTCGAGAATATATTGAAGCACATATTCGTTGTATGCGATCGCATGGTTTTGAAATTTAGTTAGAAAAAGTCGTTAATTGCTCAAATATTTTGTATTTTAGGTTTTTTTTCTATTTTTTTCATCGGATCGATGTTATAAATTAGGCAATTTACTTTTTCAATATTTCAATTTTTTGGTAAATTTACTAGTATACTTGTCTTTTATATTGTGTTTTAAATTTCCATATAAGTTGCGAGTTGATTGATGATTGAATTCCGATAAAATCTGCTTTTTTTATATTTTCATTCTTTGGGTAATTTTCCCATTTCTTTCCAACTCACTTTTTATTTATTTAATTATATTTTTAATTAAAGTGACGATCATTGAAGAAAATGTTCAATGGGACATTTTAAGTTGGAAGATTTCTCTATTTTTCTGACATATTCCAAAAAATTTCAGTTGAAATATAATTTGAAGTTAATTTTTGGATGCTAATCAATCCGGTTCGGTTGTACACTCATTTATTCATGTTTCTTTTAATAAATTTAATATTCATTTTTCTGGCATTTTCAGAGAATTTTTTTAAGGGAGGAATTAAAGTATTCATTAGCTATGCAAGGTAACGAATTATTGCAATTACAATTATGCCAGGAGGACATTTTAAGTGTGGACTCCAAGGTCAAAGGCCGTCTTCAAGAAATGAGGTCTTCATTTTAAGTTACTTCTACATTGTTTAATGTTTTCTTGATTATGATGCTTAAAAATATTTAGATAAATAAATATCAATATATCTAAATGGTATTAAAAATAATTTCTAATCTGTATAGGTCAGCTAGAGTGATTCTCCATTATTAAAAGATTGGCATCGAACCCATGATGCTTATTCTTAGGCAATGCTACTTATTATCCAACTGGTCAATCTTCTGGTTTTACTTTTTTATTCAGGGAGTGGAAAAATTGTTCTCGAAGAGAATTAAACGACTGTACCACTTCAGTAAAAGCGGATATCAATGTTATGCGCCAAAAAATCTATCAACTTGAAAAGATTGCTAACAAAATAGAATCTCGAGAAGATCACCAAGAATTATTATCGCAGATCAAAGAGCATCATGATGAAGTGGAACGTAATCGCGAATTGCTTCGGCAAATCGTTGCATCCTTGATGAAAAATATAGGTATTCTGATCTGCCATTTTTTCTGATATATCAACTCGAAAACTGCAAACTGAAGAGTTGTTAAAGCCAATTGAAACAAAAATTAAGTTGTGAAAAATGTTGGCCAAAAAACCATAGCAGTGTTTTTGTGGTTCAAAATACATTACATTACATTAACAAAAATAATTAAGATACAATTTAACTTATAGTAAAATTCCTCTAAAATTGGCTGAGGAAGAAAAGGTAGCAATCCGATTATCATCCGGTGATCAAATTTCCTTCCTGATTTCGAATTTCTGGTAATTTTTTTATTTTTCAACTTTTTATTAATGTTTTTAATGCAGGTTATCAGTCACGAAATGAATTATTTTATGGAAATGAAAATGCTAAAGCAAGCGAATTGCGCACTCGCACGAAACAAGTTGATAATATGAAAAAGGAATCTGCAAAAGTATTATTATAAATATATAATTACGTTTATTTTTCGTTAATTAATATAATTAATAGTTGAAAAGTTTATTGTCGCTGGCATAAAAAAAAAGAACATTCATTATCTGTAGGAAAATCATTTATGTAATGCTTAAGATTAAGCTGAGGTTTTAGAAGGTAAATAAAAGTATGAAAAGTAAGTAAATAAGTATAGAAGTATGACTGAATGCTACAATTTACTGGCCATCATAATTTGGTATTTTTGTAGGCATTTTATTCTGTCGTTTATTTTCATTTTCCTCCGTTATATTTTTGATTGTGTTGTAAAAGCGTTACTTCAAAAATTAAAACTGTAGGTAACGGAAAATCTTTCTGCCCTTGTTGCACGAATGAGTGATCAGTTAGCGTTATCGGAAACAACTACATCAACTTTAATTCATTCATCTGCACTTCTTAAAGGGACTGAAGTTGAATTTTCATCAATGGCTGCTCATATTCAAGTATGGATTATTATATTCCTTTACATTCCTTTCAGAAGCGCATAGAAATGTGCCCGTAAGACTTCACTTTCGTTTACTTCGCTGAAATAGATTCATTTTTTTGGAGGTAATAAATCAAAAGAAATTATCTAAAAAACAGAGAGTTCTGAAAGTCAAATTTATGTTAAAGAATTGGCCAGTAACAAGAAAGAATTCGTAGACTTCGTTTAATTTTTTTTTTGATAAATTTTTTATTTCATATTTTCATTATTGTTTTTTATTATTATTATTTGTTATTTGTTTTTATTTATTTAGAGTGGAGGAAAATTGATATCGAAATATGGCAGAAAAGAATGCACCGATAAATTTTTGGTGGCCTTGGCTTTATTTCTTTATTTCGTTGTCATTTTCTATATTCTTCATAAAAGGGTTTTTTCCATTGTATTTTAATAAATTTAATTTTCTTTATATTTTTTTTATTTTTCTTAGAATTCTTTTAGAATCCATTCTGTTATTTATTATATTCGTTACTTATTTCTCTTTAATTGTTGATTTTTGCAATTTAGAAATAATGATAATTATTATTGATTGATGTTTACTTGTGAACTTGTGCTTCGAGTAAAAAACTTATTTTTTTGGCTCTCCTCGTGCTATTGGACAAGTCCATTGGCTTTGTATAATTTTATTTTTTAATTGATATATTCTATACATTTATTACTTTTGTTCAGAATTTCTGTATATTTACGATGAAATGGACGACTTTGCATCATTCCTTAATATTATTCCCACTTTTTCTGTTATTTCTAAAAATATTATATGTGTTTGTTTGTGATTTAAAACTTTTAATTTAACTGTGGAAAAACTTTTTTATTGAAGTCAAACTCTGTGATTCCCTTCGGTTCGATTCTTACTTTTCATTGCTTTGCTCGATTGTCTATCAAATTATCTAATAATAAATAATAAATAATTTATTCTACGCCCTTTTAAAGATTGTTGATGGCACTTGATGTTGAACGAACGAAGTTGTGCAATTTTTTGCTAGAGAATAAAGCAGAAGAAGCGAAGCGAATCCTCTTGCAGCATAACGACCTTATTTTCTCGAAGGATGATGTTAGTCGAAAATTTTTATTTCTTTTGGCGAAAATTGCTGCAAGGCTAGAAGAAATGATTCACCACATTTTCGATCATTTCAATTTTTCGTTTTCCTTAGGATCAAATAATGGAATAATTTTCGATGAATTATTATAATTTCAATTGGTGGTGGCAAAAATTAGAATTTTAGTCAGGTCGAGCAGCAATACATTGGGCTGCAACTGGTGGTTGTCTTGAAATTGTACAGTTCTGTGTATCTCTTGATGAAAATGCTGCTGCAGACCCTGATGATGTAAGTATTAAATAAGTATAAGTATAAACGTACCCAGTTTCCCAAAATATGTCCAAAATTTATCTCAGTTTATGCATTTATTTTTTTGATATACCAGATTGGGTTTTTTTGGATTATTGCATTGACCACTTTTTATGATATATTTCTGAATAATTTCTCTTAGACAACTTTTTCTACTAATTGTTTCATTAGTATGAACTTATTTTTTGCTAGAATTCGAATTTTCTTAGCTTTGCGCTATTATTTATTTGCGTAATTATGATCGACACACTGTTTTATGCCTAAGCAGTTTGAGTTATTTAAATTCGATCAATTTAACTCTAACTCAGTTTCATTCGATTAAAAAAATTTTTTCTGTTAATAAATTTAATAATTTTTTAGTCAGGATGGACACCTTTAATGATCGCCTGCTCAGCTGGACGAATAAATGTTGTAAAATATTTGCTAAATATTACTGTTGACGTGAATGTGCGAAATAAGAATGGGCAAACACCACTACACTATGCAGCAAGTAAAAACTACCTCCAGGTTCGCGACATTTTGAAAGTTTTCATTTTTTTTACGGTTTTCTCTTATTTTAAATTTCTCATAATCCCATATTTCCTGTTCTTTCATGAATGCAATCCCCATCTCCATGAATGCAATGTCATCTCATGCTTAGTTTGCTGAGAATTTTTCGGGAGAGATTGACCATTTGCGATTTTAATTTGTTTTTCTTTGTAAATTTGTTTTATTTGCATTATTTTTAATTTAAGTTATTAATTATTATCAGTTTTTGGTTGTTATTTAAAAAATATTCATTATTATATTTATTGGTACAACAATTCTTTTATTTATTTAGATTACGAGTCTTCTAATTGAAAATGGCGCAGACGTTAATGCACAGGATAAATATTTGGCGACTCCACTACATAGAGCTGCTTCTCAAGGGCATGAAAAAGTATTTTTTGATAAAATTCGATTAAAATCGCCAAAGGTTTCCTATAGCTTTTTAATTTGCGATATCATATTTTACTCTTAATACGATGCTAATGTTAGATATTAATTACTTGATATGACCCACTTTTATTCACCTTCGAAATATATCAATCTAGTTTTTTTTTCGCTTTTTTCTTTTATCATTTTTCCACGCTGTTCTGTTATCAGAGGTAGATATTTTCCATTTTTATTATTGAATTCTTAATATTTTCCATTTCTATTATTGAATCAGAAAAACTATTTAAATAATTGTTCATCTCTAAGATTCATCTTTCCTATTATCTTCACTAGGTAAACTTATAGTTTTGTGGAAAAACTTATAGTTTTAGTCGCCTAAAGTTTCTATGGCAAAAAAATTTCCTTACCATTCTAAAAGCCAGCAGAATGGACCTAAATTAGAAAATGGTGGGAGATAATTGATACTTTTTACGTTTTTATTTACTTTATTTTTTTGATAATGGAAGCTAGAAATACATAAAAATAATTTCATTGTGTTATTTATTCCTTTGATGAAAGCCATTCGGCCATTTCATGAACATTTCAGATTGTTTCTCTGTTGCTCAAAGATGCAAAAATTAAAGTTGATATCACTGATTCCATGGGTTGTTCTGCGTTGTTAGTTTTATTTTTGAGATTAAAATGTGCTTTTTTTCTTTTCATTCAAATTGCATCATTGTATCACTTAATATTTTAAAGTAAAATTTAATATTGTATATATTATAGGTCATTTATTACTTCCTAATGAAAAATAACTATGTTATTTTTACATAAAAAAAACGATTCATTTTGTTTTTCTTATGAATTGGAATTAAACGTCGACAAGGTATTTCATTATACATCTGTGAAAATTTACAGGCATTTGGCTTGTGAAGAAGGTCGTGAAAATGTTTCAATTTCGTTAATCTCAGTTGGTGCAAATCTAAAAAAACAGAATAAAGTAAGACCTTCATGCTTTCCTCGTTGCTGTTTTTCCACATGGTGAACGAAAAAACTGTTTGATACAAAGAAATGAATTTGTATTTTCGCATTTTCAATAAATTCAATGGTTTTGATTTCAGGCAACAAAAAAATGGGATTCACATGTAGCCTTACCTTATGTCATAGCATCTTAATATTTTAAAGTAAAATCTGATTCACTCACTTTGTGTACTTCATAGGTTAATTATTAAAGAAAGTTTTCAATCAAAATGGCTTTAAGCATTATCAAAAACAGAGTTACTCCACTTTTGGCTTTAAAAACTCTTTTGGTCTCAGTTTCATATATTTTAAAAAGAGGAAACCAGTATTTTTTCAGGAAAAAAAGACGCCACTGGATTTAGTTGAAAAAATTGAATTGGCGAAAAAACTTATTGCAGCTGCCGAAATATTCCAAAAGAATGCATGTTTTAAGTAATTGTAATTAATTTATATTCATCTTTGTTTATTAAAAATTTTTCAGCCATTTATATGAAATGATACATCTTTAATGCGTTTTTATTGCGTAGACATTAGTTTATGGCGGAACTAGCCAATCTTCTATTATCCTTCTTTTGATAGTTTATGACTGGTAATAATTTATGACTTGTTGTGCTTTTTGAGGTTATTTAATCTATTATCCAAAATAAACATCCTTTTAATCGTTTTGAGTGTTCTGACATTGCTTTTCATCCATAAAATACCAAAAATCCGAGTGGTGTTGAAGACCAACACACTGTCTTCGAGTGAATATAAAGCCACTTTATATACTCAAAGTGGTAGAACTACCTGAATCAGAAATCTCGTTTGATGTTTAAAAAAAAAATGATTGAAATGTCGAAAAGTTATTTAGTTCCGGATAAACATTGTTGTTTTAGCTGATGATCAGTTATAAATTTTTAAAGATTTTGTCCTTTTTGCGGACATATAGAATGTGTATTAGGTACGAATTATCAAAGGTAGATAGCTTGATATCTTTCACTGTCGCCCATATTTTATAGGTATATAACGAGATAATGGGTAAATGCGAACCTTTCTTTTTGTGGCGATTTCGTGGCGATTCCATACTGGCTTCACCAGACAAAAGAATGCATTTCTAGCTGAGGAGATTGTAAATCCGTCTTCCGCTTCACCATTTGGTGTAAAGTGATTTCAATAAAGTCTATCATTATAAATATTTTATCAACGTCTGGTTTATAAAACAAGAAGACTCGTTTTATTTGCTTCATCTTGATATCGATTCCGATTGTCCATTCATTGTTTAGCATTTCTTGAATTTCTAGCTAAAAAAGAACTATATTACTACGTATTCAAGGTACTGTACTGTGGATTGATTTGTATGTTTTTTGAGTGCCTGCAGTTCTGTCCATAGTCAAATCTATCTGAGTTATATTGTAGAGGAAAGGACGTAGCGACGAAGGACACCAGTTTTTCTTCCAAAAAAAATAACATTTCGATATTCTAACACTCGTAATTAGTTGCTTAGCACATAAGTCTATTCATTGTCAACTCTATTCAGCAGAAGAAAAGCGAAAATTTTCTCTAAATGTTCTAGTAAGCTAACGATATTTTACGATATTTACCATATCATATCATATCCTACCAACTTTCTTGAGAATTGAACAGGCTTGATTTGCTCCAGTAATCTGGTTTTAATTCTATGCTAGAGAATACATCCACTGAGGGAAATTATGAAAGATACCGGACAACGCTTCATTCATCGACTTCTGTCCCCACTTGCTGCCGCTTTCGAATGCTTTCAGTGTACAAAAGCTAGGATTTCATGGTCTGGCAGCCAGTTCGGAGACTAGCTTCTGACACCTAACTATCGGAGTGGCACATCATAAAGTGATTTTGGCCAATTTTTGAAGGTAGGCCTTTAGTCGGGATCAGTAGTCAGGTTCGAATTCCAGAGATGCCATGATATCATTGAAATGTTTAGGTTTGATGTGTTCTCTCAAATCTTTTAGCTTGAGGTAGTTGAAAGGTCTTGGGGAACGCTGTTTCCTGTGAGTTGCCAGATCTCGGCTGGAACCACAGCATGCTTTATGAAGGTTACCAACTTTGTGCTATGACAGGTATGGCTAAGAAATTTTGGGTCCCGGGCTCGGCGCAGTAGATTTTATCGAAATTATCTTAAATATTTTCATTCTTTTTTAGAATTTGAAAAAATAAAAATAGGAAATTAACGAACTCCTTTTTAAAATGAAATGAAAATTTTATGGATGAATTGGTTATTATAATTTTTTTAATTTATCATCCGCGAACATCGCTTGCGATAATCCACGATAATTTCACTTTTGTCATAATAATAATAACAATAATAATAATATAATAATTATTATTATTAATAATAATATAATAATTATTATTATTAATAATAATTAATAATAATAATAATTAATAATAATAAATAATAATAGTAATAGTAATAGTAATAATAATAATAAAATAATAATAATAAATAATAATAAAATAATAATAACTTTCTCATCGTTAATACTATTTACAAATTATAATTATAAACTTGCCAATAACCTATGTTTTTTTATTTTTATAGTTCCTTTAATTATTTTTATTTTATTTATTTAAAGCGTAAAGACAATCGAACTCGAAAATTGGACATTCGTCATTGTCCGTTTTATTCGCTTTATGAACTTTATTTGGCTTAGGCTTTGCCAATGATTTAACCGACAACCATATAATTTTCTTGCAGCGATCTAATTTTTCGGCTTACTGTTGTTTTACTATACCGTCTTGGCCTTAGTGTTCGGACCTTGCCTCCAACAAGAGTGCAGCTATATTTTAAAAAATTCGGGAAGTGCTGGAGGTCTACCTGTTTCACCAATTCTCCTTGCGAAAATTTTGCCCATTTTAACAGCTAGTGCGGTGAGCCAAACCAGAAATGATTAGTGGTTACCACTTATTAAGGCATGATAATAGAAGATTTTTTCAGATTATATTATATTAAATATGATTTTCTTACAAATAAAAAAATTAATTACTAATCGATTAAATAAAACTGCGATTGATTTTTAAAAAATTTTGTAAAAAATTATATTCGTAAAACCTCACAAGATTTTCAGGACAAATAAATATCGAGAAATATAAGCAATAACGAGTAAATTTCAAGTTATTGCTCATTATAAGCGGAATTTGTGCATTTAAGCGTGCAAAATATTTATTTCATAATGGGTTGACTGAGTTTGGATATTTAAAATTGGCTTGAAAGCTGGGTTTATACGATATTTGACGGGTTCCAATTTAACAGAGCATACATGACAACGACCTCAGTAAGGTGCGATAGAAGCGTTGATCGCTATCCCTAATCTAATCTGATGTCTTTAAGTGATTCTCTAAATGAAAGAAAAGAAAAGAGGTTAGTCATGGAGTTAACGAATCGTGATCATGATTAAATGATGAAAGAAGAACATCAAAACCAAATGCAGACTCTGTACTTTTTATAAAAAATATAGAAATTTGCGTCTTCATTCGCTTTGGCCAGAATTTGGTCACAATTGGCGATATCCATAAGTGAATTATGAAATGCATTGTGGTTTAAAATGGTCCATAACTTTTATGAATTTTCATGGACCATTTGCTTTCTGTATGATTATGATTAGTTATGATTAGTTATACCAAATCAGGAAAGAAAATATATGGTCGAATGAAAGTTCTTTGAAAATATTTCAGTTTTACCTAGATAAATTATTTACATTCTATATCAGTTATTTGAGGCTTTCGAAATAAAAACCATTTTTTATGCAGTTGATAAATTGTCTACTCCTTGGCGATAATCATTATTAATGGGTAAAAATAGTCGAGTGGTATGTTAGTTCCACTGAAGTCGAACATTCAACATTCAACTGAGTTCGATTTCTGTTGCGAGAGTAAATTTGTTATTAAAAGAGAAATTCAGATGGCTCCATATATACTTTAATTTCCAAATAGGAAAATAACAGCGAAAGAGCTTTATTCTTATCAGTTAGTGAGTTGTTGAGTTGTTGTTCATCAGTTGCTAATTTACTTAATGAATTTCGCGGATTTGAACGTGGATTTTGAAATGATACTTAGAAGAAGAACTTGATG